TCATCTTAGTGGATGCAGAGAATGCATTCAACTTGCTGAACCGAGAGGCAGCTCTTAACAACATGTATATTGTATGTCCAGAAGTTGCTACCTACATTATGAACACCTACAGAATGCCTGCTAGACTGTTTATTGCAGGAGAAGATGAACATCTTTTTAGTGAAGAAGGGACAACACAAGGTGATCCACCTGCTATGGGATTTTATGCATGTGGTACAATACCATTGATTGATGCAGGAAACATTGAGAGAAAAGTGACTCAGATCTGGTATGCTGATGACTCTGCTGCTGGGGGAAAACTGGAAGAAATGAGGAAATGGTGGGATAACCTCTGCATTAAAGGACCACTTTTTGGTTACAACCCTAAATCTTCCAAGACATGGGTGATAGTCAAGCCTGAGCACGAAGAGAAGGCAAGAAACTTGTTCCCAGATGTCAATGTGACAAGTATTGGTCGACGATATCTGGGCAGCTTTATCGGAACTGATGAAGGAAAAGGGGCTTTCATCGAGGAAAAAGTTCAAGAATGGTGTCGTGATCTTAAACAATTAAGTGATATAGCATCAAGAGAACCTCAAATAGCATACAGTGCATACATGTATGGGCTTAGTAAAAGATGGAACTATGTGTGCAGAACTACCCCAGGAGTTGCAGATAGGCTCACTCCTCTGGAACAAGTAACACGCGATGAGTTTATCCCAGCTATCATCAACAGGCTGTTTAGCTGCACTGATGAACTAAGGAACATAATGGCTCTACCACCAAGATATGGAGGATTGGGTATACCAGTTATGATGGACATGGCAGACCGAGAGTACAAATTCTCATGTAGAGCCACAAAACCCCTTAAAGAAGCTATTCTCAAGCAGGTAGACAACTACACAGAGGACTGGAGAGTAAGCAAAGGAGTGAAAACTGAGATAACAACTGAACGAAATCTCTTCTATCGACAAAAACAAGCGGAAATACGCCAGGAGCTCGAGTCAACACCACTGGCAAAGTTGATGTTCCAACTAGCTGCTGAGAAAGGGGCAAGTGCTTGGTTAACAGCACTACCTTTAAAAGAGTATGGATATCTGATGAACAAACAACAGTTCTAAGACGCAATAGCACTCAGATATAACCTAAACTTAGTAGGGTGAGAATCCCTGCCACGTTTTTGGTCAGTTTCGCCGGGGCTCATGTCTTTCCTCGAGGGAGCATTAGTGTCTACAGAAAAACTGACAAATCCTAGCGAAGTCCAATCCGAACCACATCTTCCATCAGAGGTGGTGCTGGGTCAGCTGGTTACTGAACGGATTGGCCTGGAGAATATCATAGTCCTGTTACTCTCAAGTTAACCATAGAGGGGGACAGGCGCTGTTCGCTCACGGCTGGTTCTTGGAGCCAACACCCTCAGCCCCACATAAGTGGGAGCACTGTCGGTGGTGGCTCACCCAGATAACGGACAGTGTCTCTCCTTCTTTCTTCTTGGACTTGCATTGTTGCTGGCGAGTCAGCCAGTAGCAATGCAGCATCTCACTCACTCAATCACCTCGTCAATTCGGTCCTTTTTTTCATTTGCATTACTTTCGCTCATTCTCCTGTCATAATGCATTCTCTGCTACCATAATGCCTTTCTTACCACGGTGTAACGCATGTTACACCTTGCGTCTTTCTCTAACACCATCATCATTTCAGCAACCTTGGAATTTCAACCCTACACAGGTACACAGCACTATGGATATCCACTCTCCACTCTACGGCGAACACAAAGCTAGAGATCTAATTAGGATTCGAGTACCCCGGCTACCCTTGTGACATACATACGTGGAAACCAGTTTAAGCAGCAGTACATCGACACAATGGATCAGCACTACGAAATCTGATATCTGCATCATACTACTCCGATCCAGAAATCTTCGCTAAACCATCACATGAGATGAATAACTACAAGTTGGACTCCACATAACATTATTCCTTGTTCTGATCAGTCAATAAATGTAATCTGCATCAATTTTCCAATAATTACATCTTCTTACTAGTTTATTTTCCCTCTCAGGGCTAGAACGCAATGTTACAGCCCACTTTATAAATTACTAAAACTCGAGTTATTCCAGATTGACGACTTGACACAGATATTCATCAAACAACCTAAATAAAGGACTCCCACTCTCCAAACCAGTAGAGATCCAATCACTGCCTCCAGGGTACCCCTTCATCCGGTATTAGCAGTTCCTCCACCACCACCAGGTTAGAACACTCCCACTAATCACCCCTAAAAAACGAACCTACCGCCTTGCTCCACCAAACACAACTTCAATCAAATCCAGTTACTCAAACCGGTTAAATCCGTCCTTCAAATTTCCCGCATTAAACGTAACGCGCGAACGCCATACAACTCAAGGACGTAGCAACCTAATAGTCGTCATTTTTTAAACAGAAAATTTAGTGCGCGCGCGAGCCTGCGCGCGCGCGAGCTTACGACTAATCCACGAGATTACGACAAATCCACATAATTGAAACGTTCCATCACTCCAGGTTGATCTGATTAGTAAACTCAAGGAAGATGATACCAGATCAGTCCCGAACTTCGCCTCAGCATCATACTCTGCCTAGTGTCGATAAAGAGGATTCACAAACAATCGAGATTCACTTACAAATATTTGCTATTACTTTTTACAATTGCAGTTATATTCGTTGTTTTAATTATCTCCATCAACCTTGAATCTGTCACTGCCCATACTACATTCCCAAAATTATCTTAGCGCTCTTCCATCGTCAAACCCCACTAGTTCACTATATACGCCAACCAATAAACCTCAATTAGGATGGTTTTTGCAACACATTCTACAAGCTTAGAACTTATAAAGTAACAGCACCATCATAACCCACACATTACCTTCGCACAAATCAGCTATTCCCCATTCACTCACGAGCGTCGACATATCTCCGCATGTACATCTGTAAACTGGAGCGGCCCCCCGCGATGCGGAGCAGGTGAGCTACCTGGTTCGGGCTACTTCACTTATCAGAGTACGCTAGCTCCACAATACACTCGCTTCAAGCCCTCAGATTTGCATGCATCCATCACCTTCACAGGGCCGGCTGCCCACATCCTGTAAAATCCTGATTCTATATGCTCGCGGGGTCTATTACCTGTTTGAGCTTTATTATTACGCGCGCGTGCCCAGTGTACAGCTCACCGGCTTGCGCTGTCCTCTTGGCATTGTTGTCGCCTTTATGACCTTCAAATCTAAAAGTAGGTTGAGGGCACTACATGGGGTCTAGCGCTGCCCCGTGTCAAAATACATACATACATACATACATAACCTAAACTTAAAGGACAGCCCTAAGACATGTACGTGTGGCCAAAAGTACTCAGCAAACCATGCGCTCATCTGCAAACTCGGTGGATATGTGTCACTGCGGCACAACTCGCTGAGAGACACCTTTGCTGAACTAATGAGAACTGTGAAATGCAAGGATGTGCAGACTGAGCCAGTTCTTCTTCCAGTTGATGGTCTGAAGTTGCCTAAGGGAACAGTCCTAGGAGACCAAGCCAGGCTGGACATTTCTGCAAGATCGATTTGGAATGCTTCAGAGAGGGCATATTTTGATGTAAGGGTATTTCATGCCCCAGCCCCCTCCAATGCAAGCAAACCGATACCAGCAATGTACCAGTCCCATGAAAATGAGAGAAAGCGATGTTACAATGCAAGGGTTCTTGAAGTGGAGAAAGGAAGCTTCACACCTTTAGTGTTCTCGACTTCTGGTGGAATGAGTGGTGAAGCTGAGAGACTGGTCAAGAAGCTGGCCAGTAAGATGGAGTACCACACTGGCCAGAGGTACTCAGACGCTGTAGGTTACATAAGAAAGCGCCTTCGCTTTGAAATCCTAAGAACAACAGTGATTTCTCTCCGTGGAGACAGAGGTGCGAGAAAAAACATTGTTAATATAAACAGTCTAGATCTTAACTTGGAGCCACAAGGCCAAGGGTAAATTTTTGATTGTTAAGGGAATTTTTTGAATTCTTAAAGGGTTGATTTTATATAGGGTCATTGCTATATTATGTGTATATTGTTTGAATAAAAATTTCTAGCGTAATTGAAAACTTATCGCCAAAGTTTAAGAATCCAGTAGCATGTATTTGTAGGTTTATCATTTCAATGCAGAATTTAAGCTACATTATCGCAAATAACCTACGTTCCTTATTCACGAGAGGGTAATCTTAAGTAGATCATCCAAAACTCTTGGAGCGTTGTGTCAAGGAAGACTTTATACCAGTCATCATGGGCAAAGGATTTGTGCCTGACCAGATCAGAAAGATAGGTTCACTTCCTGCGAGAGTGTGCAGCCTAAGTAGTCCAGTCTGCACATCTACAGCAGAGATGGAGTGCTATAACTCAGTCAATGCTATTGAACAGTGCACAAAAGCAGTTTTAACCCTGGTTTCAAAACATTTATTCCGTTTTTATTTACTGATTTGTTGACAGAAGTTTATTTTTAGGTGTCTAACCTTATAGTTAGACAATTACAATCACTTCAAATTTATTTGTGTATATATATTGTTCGAATAATTTATTGTCATCGCAATCTAACGTATTGTTTCAGCCCTCTGTCAAGAAAACAGAGAAAGAATTGTTTAAAATAAAGAAATAAAAAAGGAGGACCCCCAACCGATATAGCGGAGACACCTCAACAGCAAGTAGACCAAAATAGTTCCCGCTTGTAAAAAGTGCATCAACTACCCGCCGAAACAGAGGGTTGGGAGTCTCCCCAGCCACCGAAATCATTTTGTCCGTAAAATTTTATATAATATTTACAATTTTCTTTTACAATTTTGACAACTAACTGCGAAGTCCTTGTTTGTTTCTATCCTATATTATATGTCACTTCCGACTATCAATTCAACAAAAATAAACACAATTTAACGTTTTTGGAATCTTCCACACAGTATCCAATTTATAACTTCAGTGACATTATCCAGTTTCTAATGCATCTTAACTATGCCTAGCTACATGATGATATGTTTGCGGAATGCCAGGTGTAGAAAAGAGGTGCTTTCACTTGTCAGGCGCACAAGAAGCAATGAACGTTTTCTTGTGAATCAAGTTATTGGGGATGAAGCGGCCGAAAATGTTACCAAGGTAAAGAATTTGTACAAGACTGCATATGCATTGACAAATGGTCGACCATCTCCCGAACTTCTTGAAGCTCTTGAGCAGCAAGCTAAATGCGATGGTGTTAAAATAACCAGAAAGGAACTTCATGATTTTGAGTATGAAGAATTAATATTGCAGAATAGATCCAGACAGAGCAAGATCCGACCCATCACTGGAACCTCAACAAATAAAATACAATTGCTCAATGCCTACCTGGATGTATTCTTGAATAAAAATGAACTTGACGAGTTTTTATCGCTGATCCAAAGAAGTCCAGCTATATCAAATTCAATTGATCTGGTTGATCAATCTATTTTAATGAGGTACATTATCAGATGCAGGAAAGATTTCAGAGTTCATCATCTAGCTGAACTGCCTGACCATATTAGTGTTGTGGATAAAATTATGGGCCATTACTACCAACGAAACTTATCATTGTTGAAAAATGTTTCTGTGAATCAGAAATTCATTGATGAGATAGTTGCAAACTACTCATTCCATCTCAATGATTTCAGAGACTTTGAAAATGCCATCAGAATAATTGATCCTTCTATGGTGTTCAGTGTAACCAATGAGAAGCGTGACATTGATTATCTAAAGAAGAAATATCCCTTGATCAAGAATCTGCTAAGCCCCAAGCTCAAAAGCAAATTCCCTTATCATGCCTCAAGAGTATCTGCAGCGTCTATCAAGTCACAGTTAAATAATGAGAAAAATGAATATACTCAGTTGCAATCTATCTCCTGTGAAACACAGGAAAACCCTAGTGTGTGGAAATACAAGGCAATGTTACAAAAGAAATGGGAAGATCGTTTATATAAAGCATTGTGTAATGAATCAAAACTTTACAAAAAGGGTGATCACAGGGACTTCAGAATGCATAACTGCCCTTTTCTTGATGAGGACATTGTTTGCCTTCGAACTGTTGCTCATCAAACTGTAAACTACATCTGTGAACAATTGGTGCTGCAGTACAAAGGAATCGAGGTCAGTAAATAATTTTTCCCAGCAAATATGCATTTTTTGTTAGATTCTATGCCTTTATAATTGTCAATTTATTGTTGGGTTTAAAATCTAATCAGAAATATTTCCTAGATTATTGTATCAGCAAGTGCTCTTGGAAATATAGTTTACAAGATCTACTGTAAACAGCATCATGGTTTCAATCAAGCCAAATATGAACAATACCTCCAAGGACTCGAAAAAGCTTCAAACTCATCACCTCAGATGGTAAGTGAGTGAGTAAGACATTAATAGACATGAAATAGCATCCTTACAGCAACAGTGTGTTGTTGAAAATGTGCAACTACAATCCTTAATAATATATTGATATCACAGATTTTGTATAATTGTAACAAGTCTACTGTGTAGTTATTTTGTTATTGTTCAGGTTTGGGAGCAGCACAACACTCAAAAGTTTCATCAGTTTGTACCGTTTTGGAGCACCAACACCATGAACAGTATCGGAGGATTCATCCTCAACTTGGTTCGAATCCATTTTAAATTCGATAAGCAAGGATGTAGCGATGTTCTCAACAATATAGATAGGTAGTTAATCATAATATTGGTACAATATGAGCCATCCTGTTTTGTTAATTTTTGTTCATGCTCAATTGCTAAAGATTTTGTGTTTCATGGTTTGGGAAAGTGCAATAAATATAGCAGGGCACTTCATTAATTGTTTTTTCCAGTAAATCATTGAATATTTTGTTAGATTAGAAAATAACTCAAAAATTCCATCAGTTCTCAGATTAAGAAACCGTCAGAAGAGGAGACCCAGGTTTTTACCCACACTTACCACATCTCAGAAACCACCACGCATACCCACCCTATTGGTACATTTGTCAGTCATCCAGTACTGAGAGAGCTCATCATGAAGTAAGTTTACTGTAAATACCTTATATTTTTACTTTTATAGTTATGATAATATACAAGTACGAGTGTAGATAAGAAGAAACTGTAAAAATTAAGTTAGCTACGGTAATTGAACTGAATCACTGAGTGTTTCCCTATTTAAAACATAATGTTCATATTATGAAGTGAGATGATTAGAGCTTGTAGTTGTAATGAATGGAAATCTAGCGTCCGCCAAAAAGAAACAACGGGCGCAATTCTTGTTATATTACTTTTATAGTTATGATAATACACAAGTACCAGTATAGAGAAGAAGAACCTGTTCGATTAATAGCATTTCAATATCAGTTATTGGTGCATATATCACACCACATTTTATTAAAGTATGTATTATTCTTCTCCAGGAATGTGGAAACAAGAGGTTACTTCTACTTCGCGACTACTGAGGTTCCCATGCTGTGTCCCCCAAAACCCTGGTGTTATCATTCCCTCACCCCCATGCTGCTGTCAGGGGTTCAGTTCATCAGGTTAATAATAGTTAATTGTAACTTCTTAACTACTTCTTAATCTATGGATCTCCTGAATCGTGGCAATTCTTTTGTGATTTATTGTTCTAGTTACTCACTGGCTAATTTGGAATTTAATCATATATTCAGATGCAGTGTGCAATCTAAATCATCATTAACTGTTATATCGTTTACTATCATGAAAATACTTATTTTTCACACTAATTGCAGGTATGCAGGATTCGAATGGAAGAAATATTTCTCAGATATCTTGAATGAGTATGACAGAAAAGGTGATATCGATGTTATGAAATATGGATTAGACGTTTTGGGGACACTACCTTGGAAAGTAAATTCGAAGGTAAAGTTCATAAGACTATATTAAAGGGGGGGGGGGGGGGGGGGGGTGTCACGTCCGTCTATGTCCGCTTGTCTCATAGAATCCAAAAAGGACAGGACATAGGTGGACATAGGCGGACATAGACGGACATAGGCGGACATAGGCGGACATAGGCGGACATAGACGGACATAGGCGGACATAGACGGACATAGGCGGACATTAATGGACACCTAAATTGCTAAATAAAATGTTCAATTTTTGCTGTTATAGGGGGATCATGTTTTTTGTCCGTTCGGTACCCTATATTTTCAAAACGGACAAAAAATAGAGCGGACAAAAACGGACAAAAATGGACAAAAACGGACAAAAATGGAAATAACATTTAGATGCTTCCTCCTCCTACTCTTCCTCCTCCTCCCCCTGGGTCTTCCTGATCTTCCTCAGTCCTCTTCCTCCTCCCCTCCTCAGTCCTCCTACTCCTCCTCCTCGTCCTGAGTCCTCCTCATCAGTCCTCCACAGCCCTTCTCCTCCTGAGTCCTCCTCCTCCTCCTGAGTCCTCCTCCTGGGTCCTCCTCCTCCTCTTCATCCTCCTCCTCTTCCTCCTCAGTCCTCAGTCCTCCTCAGTCCTCCTCCTCATCCTTCTCCTCAGTCCTCCATCCTCCTCCTCAGTCCTCCCCCAGTCCCCCTCCTCCTCCTCCTATTCAGTCCTCCTCCTCCTCCTCCTCCTTCTCAGTCCTCCTGAGTCCTCCTCCTCCTCCTGAGTCCTCCCCCTCCTCCTCCTCCTCTTCCCTCTCAGTCATCCTCCTCAGCCATCCTCCTCAGTCCTCCTCCTCAGTCCTCCTCCTCCTGGGTCCTCCTCCTCCTCTTCATCCTCCACCTCTTCCTCCTCGGTCCTCAGTCCTCCTCCTCCTGGGTCCTCCTCCTCATCCTTCTCATCAGTCCTCCTCCTCCCCAGTCCTCTCCCAGTCCCCCTCCTTCTCCTCCTCCTATTCAGTCCTCCTCCTCCTCCTCCTCCTCAGTTCTCCTCAGTCCTCCTTCTCATTTCTCCTAAGTCCTCCTCCTGAGTCCTCCTCCTCTTCCTTCTGAGTCCTCCTCCTGAGTCCTCCTCCTCCTCCCTCTCAGTCATCCTCCTCAGTCATCCTCCTCAGCCATCCGGACATAGGCGGACATAGACGGACATAGGCGGACATTAATGGACACCTAAATTGCTAAATAAAATGTTCAATTTTTGCTGTTATAGGGGGATCATGTTTTTTGTCCGTTCGGTACCCTATATTTTCAAAACGGACAAAAAATAGAGCGGACAAAAACGGACAAAAATGGACAAAAACGGACAAAAATGGAAATAACATTTAGATGCTTCCTCCTCCTACTCTTCCTCCTCCTCCCCCTGGGTCTTCCTGATCTTCCTCAGTCCTCTTCCTCCTCCCCTCCTCAGTCCTCCTCCTCCTCCTCCTCGTCCTGAGTCCTCCTCATCAGTCCTCCACAGTCCTTCTCCTCCTGAGTCCTCCTCCTCCTCCTGAGTCCTCCTCCTGGGTCCTCCTCCTCCTCTTCATCCTCCTCCTCTTCCTCCTCAGTCCTCAGTCCTCCTCAGTCCTCCTCCTCATCCTTCTCCTCAGTCCTCCTCCTCCTGGGTCCTCCTCCTCCTCTTCATCCTCCACCTCTTCCTCCTCGGTCCTCAGTCCTCCTCCTCCTGGGTCCTCCTCCTCATCCTTCTCATCAGTCCTCCTCCTCCCCAGTCCTCTCCCAGTCCCCCTCCTTCTCCTCCTCCTATTCAGTCCTCCTCCTCCTCCTCCTCCTCAGTTCTCCTCAGTCCTCCTTCTCATTTCTCCTAAGTCCTCCTCCTGAGTCCTCCTCCTCTTCCTTCTGAGTCCTCCTCCTGAGTCCTCCTCCTCTTCCCTCTCAGTCATCCTCCTCAGCCATCCTCCTCAGTCCTCCTCCTCAGTCCTCCTCCTCCTGGGTCCTCCTCCTCCTCTTCATCCTCCACCTCTTCCTCCTCGGTCCTCAGTCCTCCTCCTCCTGGGTCCTCCTCCTCATCCTTCTCATCAGTCCTCCTCCTCCCCAGTCCTCTCCCAGTCCCCCTCCTTCTCCTCCTCCTATTCAGTCCTCCTCCTCCTCCTCCTCCTCAGTTCTCCTCAGTCCTCCTTCTCATTTCTCCTAAGTCCTCCTCCTGAGTCCTCCTCCTCTTCCTTCTGAGTCCTCCTCCTGAGTCCTCCTCCTCCTCCCTCTCAGTCATCCTCCTCAGTCATCCTCCTCAGCCATCCGGACATAGGCGGACATAGACGGACATAGGCGGACATAGGCGGACATAGGCGGACATAGACGGACATAGGCGGACATAGACGGACATAGGCGGACATTAATGGACACCTAAATTGCTAAATAAAATGTTCAATTTTTGCTGTTATAGGGGGATCATGTTTTTTGTCCGTTCGGTACCCTATATTTTCAAAACGGACAAAAAATAGAGCGGACAAAAACGGACAAAAATGGACAAAAACGGACAAAAATGGAAATAACATTTAGATGCTTCCTCCTCCTACTCTTCCTCCTCCTCCCCCTGGGTCTTCCTGATCTTCCTCAGTCCTCTTCCTCCTCCCCTCCTCAGTCCTCCTACTCCTCCTCCTCGTCCTGAGTCCTCCTCATCAGTCCTCCACAGTCCTTCTCCTCCTGAGTCCTCCTCCTCCTCCTGAGTCCTCCTCCTGGGTCCTCCTCCTCCTCTTCATACTCCTCCTCTTCCTCCTCAGTCCTCAGTCCTCCTCAGTCCTCCTCCTCATCCTTCTCCTCAGTCCTCCATCCTCCTCCTCAGTCCTCCCCCAGTCCCCCTCCTCCTCCTCCTATTCAGTCCTCCTCCTCCTCCTCCTCCTCCTTCTCAGTCCTCCTGAGTCCTCCTCCTCCTCCTGAGTCCTCCCCCTCCTCCTCCTCCTCTTCCCTCTCAGTCATCCTCCTCAGCCATCCTCCTCAGTCCTCCTCCTCCTGGGTCCTCCTCCTCCTCTTCATCCTCCACCTCTTCCTCCTCGGTCCTCAGTCCTCCTCCTCCTGGGTCCTCCTCCTCATCCTTCTCATCAGTCCTCCTTCTCCTCCTCAGTCCTCCTCCTCAGTCCTCCTCCTCCTGGGTCCTCCTCCTCCTCTTCATCCTCCACCTCTTCCTCCTCGGTCCTCAGTCCTCCTCCTCCTGGGTCCTCCTCCTCATCCTTCTCATCAGTCCTCCTCCTGAGTCCTCCTCCTGAGTCCTCCTCCTCTTCCTTCTGAGTCCTCCTCCTGAGTCCTCCTCCTCCTCCCTCTCAGTCATCCTCCTCAGTCATCCTCCTCAGCCATCCTCCCCAGCCATCCTCCTCAGCCATCCTCCTCAGTACTCCTCAGTCCTCCTCCTTCTCAGTCATCGTCAGTCCTCCTCCTCAGTCCTCTTCAGTCCTCCTCCTCCTCCTGGGCCCTCCTCCTCCTCCTGGGTCCTCCTGGGTCTTCCTGATCCTCCCCAGTCCTCTTCCTCCTCCCCTCCTTAGTCCTCCTCCTACTCCTCCTCCTCGTCCTCAGTCCTCCTCATCAGTCCTCAACAGTTCTCCTCCTCCCCAGTCCTCCTCCTCCTCCTGGGGCCTTTTCCTGGGTCCTCCTCCTGGGTCCTCCTCCTCCTGGGTCCTCCTTCTCCTCCTCCTCAGCTTCAGTCCTTCTCCTCCTCCTCCTCAGTCCTCTTCCTCCTCTTCCTCCTCCTCCTCCCTCTCAGTCATCCTCCTCAGCCATCCTTCTCAGCCATCCTCCTCAGTCCTCCTCCTTCTCAGTCCTCCTCCTGAGTCCTTCTCCTCCTCAGTCATCCTCCTCAGTTCTCCTCCTCCTCCTCCTAGGTCCTCCTTCTGGGTCCTCCTCCTCCTGGGTCTTCCTGATCCTTCTCCTCCCTCTCAGTCATCCTCCTCAGTCATCCCGCTCAGTCATCCTCCTCAGCCATCCTCCTCAGCCATCCTTCTCAGCCATCCTCCTCAGTACTCTTCAGTACTCTTCAGTACTCTTCAGTCCTCAAAATGTTTGTCCGCTAATGTCCACCAATGTCCGCTAATGTCCACCAATGTCCATCCAAGTCCGCCAATGTCCGTCCGGGTCCGCCAATGTCCGTCCGAGTCCGCCAATGTCCGTCCGAGTCCGCCAATGTCCGTCCGTGTCCGCCAATGTCCCAAAAAACACGTCCGTTGTCTCATAGAATCCAAAAAGGACAGGACATAGGCGGACATAGACGGACATGACACCCCCCCCCCCCATTAAAAGACCCAAAATCGTAATAATGTTGTCGGTTACTTCTGTGAAATACCATGTTGTTTGATTACATTCTATCACCTGGAACTGAATGCGATGGTCAAACTTATCTATGTATTTAATTTTTATTGTACTACTGCCCTGAACAACTTATTCTATTGAATATGTTTATGACTCCATAGCTATAATATGACTGATTCATTGTAATTGTACTAGCGGTTGTTTTGTCAGGTTTTGAAGACACAGATTGAGCTTTACAACACAGGTGGTTCAGACCACCTCTCCATCTCGAGTGTGTTCAATAAAACATTTCCTGAACTTCTGGATAAAAGTGCAGTTGATGATGACACGCTGAAGGTGAGCAATTCAAACTGTATCATCTGATCAGTTTACTTTTATTTAATTTTAAAGAATATTCTATTTGATCAATATTCAATTTAATGTCCCAAATTATTGAGCTCATGGTGAACAAAATTCTACAATTTTAAGTGTTTTCAGTCCAAACTGCTTCAGTCTCCTATTTTCCCTGAGATGTTCCCTGTCCTAACAATAACACGTAAACTGTAAACACCTCAGGCTTACTACCACACCTGCAAATCCCTGAAAAAAGAACAGAACGAGAAGCACTCCCTCCGCTGTACCCAACTCTACACACTGACCCTAGCTAACTCTCTAGTGGACGCTCCCTTCTGGCAGTGTTACAATCTGGACTTTAGAGGCAGGGTCTACCCTGTTGCTCCGCTTTTCAGCCAGATGTTAGGGGATCCCGCCCGAGGTATGCTGACTTTTCACTGAAAAATGTGGTGTGTTATACATGATTATGATACAGATTACAGAGTTATTTACGTGTCAAATGCCTCTAAATTCTGTCATGTGTAATATTACTGTGTTGTTAGCATATCAACTTTACAGGAATGCTGATGTTTGCAGAGGGGGCACCGTTAGGAGACAGTGGTCTAGCTTGGCTCAAAGTCCACTGTGCCACTAAATTCGGGGGCCTCGGCAAAGCCACATTTGAAGAAAAGGAACAATTCGCAGACGACAACATGGACAACATCATGAAGAGTGCGGACACACTGTGTTCCAACCGAGGGTGGTGGGCCCAGTCTTCTGAGGATCCCTGGCAATGCCTCGCCACTTGTATAGAGATAGCTGCCGCGCTGCGCAGTCCTGATCCTACCCAATATGTAACCAGTCTACCCGTACAGATGGATGGTAGTTGTAACGGTTTGCAGCACTATGCAGCGCTAGGGAGAGATTACGAGGGTGCTGTTAAAGTTTGTTTGGCTCCCTCTCCTAGAGCTAGGCCTGAGGATGTTTACCTCGCTGTGGTTAGTCGTCCGAATAAAAATATTATAGTAATTGTTGAAAATATTTCAGTAGTTAAGACTAAAATACTGGAGATCTATCACCAAGTTAAGCGTGATAGATCTCACCTACGATTTTTTTATCGCAGAAACAATCAAAATCCTTGGACGGACTTATAAGAGTGAATTATATTATTATGCAATGATTTAAAGTATCAACTATTTTCAGATAAATATAGTTCTAGAACGTCAAGAAGCCGATGTAGCTGATGGGAATGCTACAGCACGGAAACTAATAGGGATGATAGAGCGGAAGACACTCAAGCAAACTGTTATGACACAAGTGTACGGTGTAACTCAATATGGAGCCCGGGCTCAGATAAAAGGTAAGGTAGCCTTTTTTTAAACGATTTTTGAAAATAAATAAAATTAGTAAAATGAAGGTTAACTTGTTTAGTTAGTCAGGCTTAATCTGGGTTAACATATTTAATTAATTGATAATACCTATAATGATACTGAAGTTTACAATTACTAACTCAAACCACCATCCCTCAGGAAGATTGCAAGACAAAGGAATGTCAGATGAGGATGCAATGGAATGTGCCTCATACCTGTCCGTCCTGACGTTTAATGCTGTAGGTCAGCTGTTCACACAGGCTCAGCAGATAAAAGCATGGTTAAACGGGTCAGCTTATAAAATAGCAGAGACTGGTAAACCCGTAAAATGGAGCACCCCTTTAGGTTAGTACATCAACAACGAAAATTGTAAAGTATACCATCATGAGCCCCCAGTTTCTCTTTAATAGTTTATTATCCTTTTATTGTTGTGAACATTACAAGTACTTGACTCTTAGGACTGTCATGACGTGTGCTAAATTAAACTAACAGTCAACTGAAGAATATAGACCAGTCCCCTTTAAACAGTTTGTTATCCGTATATCTTCGCACGACCAGTACCTCACCAGTATTTCCCTCAGGACTGCCCTGTGTGCAGCCCTACACTAAAAACAAGCGGTACAACGTACAGACCCCTGTACAGGGAGTCAGTCTGCAGATGCCTTCGCCGGAGATGCCGGTTAACAAGCGGAAACAGAGCACTGCATTCCCGCCCAACTTCATACACTCACAGGTATTATTATAAAGGAGCCGAAATTGTAAGTTTGATGACGATTGACGAGCCAACAATATTAACATTTAAATCATCTTTATTCTCGTTGAACCTTGAGATGAAATCTATTTAAAATTATAAAGGTAAAAACCCGATCAGACTATGACCTGAACGATACTCTCTCAATTGTTATCTCTCACAAACTCCCCTCCTTTAGGACTCTACACACATGATGATGACAGCTATAGAGTGTTACCACGCTGGAATACCTTTTGCGGCTGTGCACGACAGTTTCTGGACATTGCCGTGCCATGTGAACGAGATGAACAGTATTATTAGAGAACAGTTTATCCTCATGTACTCTTTTGATGTAAGAACTAAGAAGTTTGTAGGAATTATATTTCTTTGATTCAAGATTAATTTTGATATTTTCCAAGACGAAATGATGAATGATCTGCCTAAACTGCTGCACACCATCCACATTCCACAATCCACAGCTACAGTCAAAACTTTACTCGGTTTTTAAGAACAATAATGCTACAGAATTGTTCATTTATAATTATATCGCTATCTTACAGGTGCTGAAGCAGCTAAAAGAGTCATTTGAAGCGTACAACCCGGAAGTTAAGTTTGGGGACTTGCCTAGTTCGGGGGAGCTGGATATAGACTGTGTCAGAGACTCGTCCTACTTTTTCAGTTGAGAGCTGGATATAGACTGTGTCAGAGACTCGTCCTACTTTTTCAGTTGAGAGCTGGATATAGACTGTGTCAGAGACTCGTCCTACTTTTCAGTTGAGAGCTGGATATAGACTGTGTCAGAGACTCGTCCTACTTTTTCAGTTGAGAGCTGGATATAGACTGTGTCAGAGACTCGTCCTACTTTTTCAGTTGAGAGCTGGATATAGACTGTGTCAGAGACTCGTCCTACTTTTTCAGTTGAGAGCTGGATATAGACTGTGTCAGAGACTCGTCCTACTTTTTCAGTTGAGAGCTGGATATAGACTGTGTCAGAGACTCGTCCTACTTTTTCAGTTGAGAGCTGGATATAGACTGTGTCAGAGACTCGTCCTACTTTTTCAGTTGAGAGCTGGATATAGACTGTGTCAGAGACTCGTCCTACTTTTTCAGTTGAGAGCTGGATATAGACTGTGTCAGAGACTCGTCCTACTTTTTCAGTTGAGAGCTGGATATAGACTGTGTCAGAGACTCGTCCTACTTTTTCAGTTGAGAGCTGGATATAGACTGTGTCAGAGACTCGTCCTACTTTTTCAGTTGAGAGCTGGATATAGACTGTGTCAGAGACTCGTCCTACTTTTTCAGTTGAGAGCTGGATATAGACTGTGTCAGAGACTCGTCCTACTTTTTCAGTTGAGAGCTGGATATAGACTGTGTCAGAGACTCGTCCTACTTTTTCAGTTGAGAGCTGGATATAGACTGTGTCAGAGACTCGTCCTACTTTTTCAGTTGAGAGCTGGATATAGACTGTGTCAGAGACTCGTCCTACTTTTTCAGTTGAGAGCTGGATATAGACTGTGTCAGAGACTCGTCCTACTTTTTCAGTTGAGAGCTGGATATAGACTGTGTCAGAGACTCGTCCTACTTTTTCAGTTGAGAGCTGGATATAGACTGTGTCAGAGACTCGTCCTACTTTTTCAGTTGAGAGCTGGATATAGACTGTGTCAGAGACTCGTCCTACTTTTTCAGTTGAGGGCTGGATATAGACTGTGTCAGAGACTCGTCCTACTTTTTCAGTTGAGAGCTGGATATAGACTGTGTCAGAGACTCGTCCTACTTTTTCAGTTGAGAGCTGGATATAGACTGTGTCAGAGACTCGTCCTACTTTTTCAGTTGAGAGCTGGATATAGACTGTGTCAGAGACTCGTCCTACTTTTTCAGTTGAGAGCTGGATATAGACGGTGTCAGAGACTCGTCCTACTTTTTCAGTTGAGAGCTGGATATAGACTGTGTCAGAGACTCGTCCTACTTTTTCAGTTGAGAGCTGGATATAGACTGTGTCAGAGACTCGTCCTACTTTTTCAGTTGAGAGCTGGATATAGACTGTGTCAGAGACTCGTCCTACTTTTTCAGTTGAGAGCTGGATATAGACTGTGTCAGAGACTCGTCCTACTTTTTCAGTTGAGAGCTGGATATAGACTGTGTCAGAGACTCGTCCTACTTTTTCAGTTGAGAGCTGATATAGACTGTGTCAGAGACTCGTCCTACTTTTTCAGTTGAGAGCTGGATATAGACTGTGTCAGAGACTCGTCCTACTTTTTCAGTTGAGAGCTGGATATAGACTGTGTCAGAGACTCGTCCTACTTTTTCAGTTGAGAGCTGGATATAGACTGTGTCAGAGACTCGTCCTACTTTTTCAGTTGAGAGCTGATATAGACTGTGTCAGAGACTCGTCCTACTTTTTCAGTTGAGAGCTGGATATAGACTGTGTCAGAGACTCGTCCTACTTTTTCAGTTGAGAGCTGGATATAGACTGTGTCAGAGACTCGTCCTACTTTTTCAGTTGAGAGCTGGATATAGACTGTGTCAGAGACTCGTCCTACTTTTTCAGTTGAGAGCTGGATATAGACTGTGTCAGAGACTCGTCCTACTTTTTCAGTTGAGAGCTGGATATAGACTGTGTCAGAGACTCGTCCTACTTTTTCAGTTGAGAGCTGGATATAGACTGTGTCAGAGACTCGTCCTACTTTTTCAGTTGAGAGCTGGATATAGACTGTGTCAGAGACTCGTCCTACTTTTTCAGTTGAGAGCTGGATATAGACTGTGTCAGAGACTCGTCCTACTTTTTCAGTTGAGAGCTGGATATAGACTGTGTCAGAGACTCGTCCTACTTTTTCAGTTGAGAGCTGGATATAGACTGTGTCAGAGACTCGTCCTACTTTTTCAGTTGAGAGCTGGATATAGACTGTGTCAGAGACTCGTCCTACTTTTTCAGTTGAGAGCTGGATATAGACTGTGTCAGAGACTCGTCCTACTTTTTCAGTTGAGAGCTGGATATAGACTGTGTCAGAGACTCGTCCTACTTTTTCAGTTGAGAGCTGGATATAGACTGTGTCAGAGACTCGTCCTACTTTTTCAGTTGAGAGCTGGATATAGACTGTGTCAGAGACTCGTCCTACTTTTTCAGTTGAGAGCTGGATATAGACTGTGTCAGAGACTCGTCCTACTTTTTCAGTTGAGAGCTGGATATAGACTGTGTCAGAGACTCGTCCTACTTTTTCAGTTGAGAGCTGGATATAGACTGTGTCAGAGACTCGTCCTACTTTTTCAGTTGAGAGCTGGATATAGACTGTGTCAGAGACTCGTCCTACTTTTTCAGTTGAGAGCTGGATATAGACTGTGTCAGAGACTCGTCCTACTTTTTCAGTTGAGAGCTGGATATAGACTGTGTCAGAGACTCGTCCTACTTTTTCAGTTGAGAGCTGGATATAGACTGTGTCAGAGACTCGTCCTACTTTTTCAGTTGAGAGCTGGATATAGACTGTGTCAGAGACTCGTCCTACTTTTTCAGTTGAGAGCTGGATATAGACTGTGTCAGAGACTCGTCCTACTTTTTCAGTTGAGAGCTGGATATAGACTGTGTCAGAGACTCGTCCTACTTTTTCAGTTGAGAGCTGGATATAGACTGTGTCAGAGACTCGTCCTACTTTTTCAGTTGAGAGCTGGATATAGACTGTGTCAGAGACTCGTCCTACTTTTTCAGTTGAGAGCTGGATATAGACTGTGTCAGAGACTCGTCCTACTTTTTCAGTTGAGAGCTGGATATAGACTGTGTCAGAGACTCGTCCTACTTTTTCAGTTGAGAGCTGGATATAGACTGTGTCAGAGACTCGTCCTACTTTTTCAGTTGAGAGCTGGATATAGACTGTGTCAGAGACTCGTCCTACTTTTTCAGTTGAGAGCTGGATATAGACTGTGTCAGAGACTCGTCCTACTTTTTCAGTTGAGAGCTGGATATAGACTGTGTCAGAGACTCGTCCTACTTTTTCAGTTGAGAGCTGGATATAGACTGTGTCAGAGACTCGTCCTACTTTTTCAGTTGAGAGCTGGATATAGACTGTGTCAGAGACTCGTCCTACTTTTTCAGTTGAGAGCTGGATATAGACTGTGTCAGAGACTCGTCCTACTTTTTCAGTTGAGAGCTGGATATAGACTGTGTCAGAGACTCGTCCTACTTTTTCAGTTGAGAGCTGGATATAGACTGTGTCAGAGACTCGTCCTACTTTTTCAGTTGAGAGCTGGATATAGACTGTGTCAGAGACTCGTCCTACTTTTTTCAGTTGAGAGCTGGATATAGACTGTGTCAGAGACTCGTCCTACTTTTTCAGTTGAGAGCTGGATATAGACTGTGTCAGAGACTCGTCCTACTTTTTCAGTTGAGAGATAAGAACTGTGTCCAGAGACTCGTCTACTTTTTCAGTTGAGAGCTGGATATAGACTGTGTCAGAGACTCGTCCTACTTTTTCAGTTGAGAGCTGGATATAGACTGTGTCAGAGACTCGTCCTACTTTTTCAGTTGAGAGCTGGATATAGACTGTGTCAGAGACTCGTCCTACTTTTTCAGTTGAGAGCTGGATATAGACTGTGTCAGAGACTCGTCCTACTTTTTCAGTTGAGAGCTGGATATAGACTGTGTCAGAGACTCGTCCTACTTTTTCAGTTGAGAGCTGGATATAGACTGTGTCAGAGACTCGTCCTACTTTTTCAGTTGAGAGCTGGATATAGACTGTGTCAGAGACTCGTCCTACTTTTTCAGTTGAGAGCTGGATATAGACTGTGTCAGAGACTCGTCCTACTTTTTCAGTTGAGAGCTGGATATAGACTGTGTCAGAGACTCGTCCTACTTTTTCAGTTGAGAGCTGGATATAGACTGTGTCAGAGACTCGTCCTACTTTTTCAGTTGAGAGCTGGATATAGACTGTGTCAGAGACTCGTCCTACTTTTTCAGTTGAGAGCTGGATATAGACTGTGTCAGAGACTCGTCCTACTTTTTCAGTTGAGAGCTGGATATAGACTGTGTCAGAGACTCGTCCTACTTTTTCAGTTGAGAGCTGGATATAGACTGTGTCAGAGACTCGTCCTACTTTTTCAGTTGAGAGCTGGATATAGACTGTGTCAGAGACTCGTCCTACTTTTTCAGTTGAGAGCTGGATATAGACTGTGTCAGAGACTCGTCCTACTTTTTCAGTTGAGAGCTGGATATAGACTGTGTCAGAGACTCGTCCTACTTTTTCAGTTGAGAGCTGGATATAGACTGTGTCAGAGACTCGTCCTACTTTTTCAGTTGAGAGCTGGATATAGACTGTGTCAGAGACTCGTCCTACTTTTTCAGTTGAGAGCTGGATATAGACTGTGTCAGAGACTCGTCCTACTTTTCAGTTGAGAGCTGGATATAGACTGTGTCAGAGACTCGTCCTACTTTTTCAGTTGAGAGCTGGATATAGACTGTGTCAGAGACTCGTCCTACTTTTTCAGTTGAGAGCTGGATATAGACTGTGTCAGAGACTCGTCCTACTTTTTCAGTTGAGAGCTGGATATAGACTGTGTCAGAGACTCGTCCTACTTTTTCAGTTGAGAGCTGGATATAGACTGTGTCAGAGACTCGTCTACTTTTTCAGTTGAGAGCTGGATATAGACTGTGTCAGAGACTCGTCCTACTTTTTCAGTTGAGAGCTGGATATAGACTGTGTCAGAGACTCGTCCTACTTTTTCAGTTGAGAGCTGGATATAGACTGTGTCAGAGACTCGTCCTACTTTTTCAGTTGAGAGCTGGATATAGACTGTGTCAGAGACTCGTCCTACTTTTTCAGTTGAGAGCTGGATATAGACTGTGTCAGAGACTCGTCCTACTTTTTCAGTTGAGAGCTGGATATAGACTGTGTCAGAGACTCGTCCTACTTTTTCAGTTGAGAGCTGGATATAGACTGTGTCAGAGACTCGTCCTACTTTTTCAGTTGAGAGCTGGATATAGACTGTGTCAGAGACTCGTCCTACTTTTTCAGTTGAGAGCTGGATATAGACTGTGTCAGAGACTCGTCCTACTTTTTCAGTTGAGAGCTGGATATAGACTGTGTCAGAGACTCGTCCTACTTTTTCAGTTGAGAGCTGGATATAGACTGTGTCAGAGACTCGTCCTACTTTTTCAGTTGAGAGCTGGATATAGACTGTGTCAGAGACTCGTCCTACTTTTTCAGTTGAGAGCTGGATATAGACTGTGTCAGAGACTCGTCCTACTTTTTCAGTTGAGAGCTGGATATAGACTGTGTCAGAGACTCGTCCTACTTTTTCAGTTGAGAGCTGGATATAGACTGTGTCAGAGACTCGTCCTACTTTTTCAGTTGAGAGCTGGATATAGACTGTGTCAGAGACTCGTCCTACTTTTTCAGTTGAGAGCTGGATATAGACTGTGTCAGAGACTCGTCCTACTTTTTCAGTTGAGAGCTGGATATAGACTGTGTCAGAGACTCGTCCTACTTTTTCAGTTGAGAGCTGGATATAGACTGTGTCAGAGACTCGTCCTACTTTTTCAGTTGAGAGCTGGATATAGACTGTGTCAGAGACTCGTCCTACTTTTTCAGTTGAGAGCTGGATATAGACTGTGTCAGAGACTCGTCCTACTTTTTCAGTTGAGAGCTGGATATAGACTGTGTCAGAGACTCGTCCTACTTTTTCAGTTGAGAGCTGGATATAGACTGTGTCAGAGACTCGTCCTACTTTTTCAGTTGAGAGCTGGATATAGACTGTGTCAGAGACTCGTCCTACTTTTTCAGTTGAGAGCTGGATATAGACTGTGTCAGAGACTCGTCCTACTTTTTCAGTTGAGAGCTGGATATAGACTGTGTCAGAGACTCGTCCTACTTTTTCAGTTGAGAGCTGGATATAGACTGTGTCAGAGACTCGTCCTACTTTTTCAGTTGAGAGCTGGATATAGACTGTGTCAGAGACTCGTCCTACTTTTTCAGTTGAGAGCTGGATATAGACTGTGTCAGAGACTCGTCCTACTTTTTCAGTTGAGAGCTGGATATAGACTGTGTCAGAGACTCGTCCTACTTTTTCAGTTGAGAGCTGGATATAGACTGTGTCAGAGACTCGTCCTACTTTTTCAGTTGAGAGCTGGATATAGACTGGTCAAGATCTCCACTTTTTTTTGTTTGGGCTGGGAAAGACTGTGTCAAGGGCCTTCCATTTTTCAGTTGAGGTAATCTTTCAGGAATTTATTTTTCATTTAGGTGGAATGAGTTAAAATTTTTTTTTTTTAACGGGTATTTTTCCCGAACTTTTTTTTTCATTGAATTTATTTTACTTTTTCAGAGATGTTACTTTTTCATTAACTATATAAAATTTTAAAAAACCGCCCTATTTTTCCAATTAACTGGAATAACTTGTCAAGACCCCTACTTTTTCATTGAAATGATATGAACCGGGACTCGTCCAAAATTTTAGTTTGGAGCGGTTTAGACGGGGAAAGGGCTTTAAATTTCCCGTTGAACGGATATAGACTTTCGGGGGGCCTACTTTTTTCAGTTGGGCTGGATATAAAATTGTAGAAAATCTTTTTTTTAGTTTAAGTGGTTGACTGGGTCAAACCTTTCCACTTTTTTCAGTTAAAACTGGGATATAGATTTTCAGAGATCTTCCACTTTTTCAGTTAAGGGATAAAGTGTGTCAGGACTGTCAACTTTTTCAAGATATATAGACTGTGTCAAAAAACCCGTCCTACTTTTTCATTAAGTGGTAAAGAATGTGTAGAAACCGCCTACTTTTTATTGAGCTGGAAAAAAAAAAAATTGCAGAGAAACCCCTCCTAAAATTTTCTTTTAGATGGAAGAATGGCAGGACCGCCACTTTTTCAGTGAGAGCTGGTTAGAAGGAAAAGGGGTGTCCTACTTTTCTTAGACTGGGGGTTAAGCGGTAGGCTCTCCTAAAATTTTTTTGTTGTAACGATATAGAAATGGTCAGGGGCTCGTCTTTTTTCATACCACAATAAATTTAACATCTTGTATTTCAATTTTGAAAAATGTAATGTATTGAGAGCGGACTTAAACAAGAATATCAGAATAGTTTTAGAATGGTAGCAGGTACTCAAAGTAACGACACGGTGGTAAAGGACATTATCAGTGTTATCCAGGCATCTGATCTGGGATGGACTCTCAAGAGAGCTGTTCAGGATGAACTCAGCAAATCTTTTGTAAATGTCAAAGATATAAAACGCCTGGTGCCTGTAAGTTTATTTACATATTTTTGATTATGAAAAATCAGATTTTCTAAAAGAAATTTATCACAGTAGGTATGAATTTTATGGATCACACATTATTCATTCTCACTAAAATTATGTCGAACAAAAGGTTCTATTAATTTCTGCATAAATTATGAAAATACTTATCATTGAAGGATTCTATAACAGCGTGTTTCATCCAGGTGTTTATGAAGGAGTCAGGATGGGACATCAAAGTGCGCAACATAGTGTTCATGTACCTGATGACTCACATTCCTGCACCTCACCCTATCACACCTCCTGAAACCCTTAAGGAACCCATGTCCTTCATCAGAAACGCCCAGGTTAACAATAACAGCTAATTTCAATTACTTTTGTTGTGGTAAACTGATTGAGTGAGTAGATTAGTCAATACACGACAATATTTACTTATTTAAATAATAGATTCTAAGAAGAACAAAACCAGTTGAAATATACATCAGTACCTCTAGGCACGCTGGGAGAAACGAATCCTGAAGAGCATCAACACCATGTGCACAGAGAAGAACATCCCGCTAGCGCGCATGCGCACAATCCGCGAACAAGCCGACTTTACCCAGAAGTGGAAGGACATGACGTTCAGTGATGAGAATATGGGGGATATCAGACCTGTTTATGCTCCTAAAGACTTCATGGAGGTCCTGACGTCACTGTCTTCTCCTAATTATACTGCTAAGATATACGATTACTCTGATGTCAATGAGAGGTCAGGGACATCGGTGTGGGGTCTGATCCAGGTTAGTTAGAAGAAGTATGTTGAAGCTGAAATTATTATATTATTATTTTGAAAGATACCTTCTTTTGGTTCACAATTTATGTAAACGTTTTGAGGGTGTATGTCAGAACAATTTACGATTGTTCATTGTTCAAACCATTTTCCAACAACATTCTAGGAATTTGTAATAAATTACCTAACTGTGTCAGGTGAGGTTACATCTGAACACAACCCAGCAACTGAGAGTGCTCTTCAGCAACCTGTCCACTCATCACTTCCAGACTGGAGCTGATGATATTGAGGGTCCTAACCCGGAGTGGCAGCGGCTCGGTGTCAAGGTATCACATTACATGATACATGATATTTTGTTGATTGAAAAAATGCAATTTTTATCACAGAAACATTAAATATCTGATTAGAAAAATGTGACCAGTGACCAATCAGTCAGGTCGGCGAGAGTGATAAAGTCGCCATCAAGGTACTAGAAGCTGTTTATCCGGACAAAACTTTGATGCAATGAAAATTTTGAAAATGTCCTACCGGTAGGACATTTTCAAATGTCAGCTTTCCTCGGCCCAAATTTCACTTTTTTACTGAATTTTTCTTGAATGACAATCTAGCAAGGTCACTGAGGATGGCACAAGACACGATTGTGGTACTGAAAATTAACACGTTCAGAGAACACGTGCTCTACACGTGCTCTATCCCAGGCAGTGCAGCTAGGATACACCCCAACAGCTCAGAGGTACCTACAACAAGGGTGTTACCCCACTCAGCGAGGTGATATCTGGTTACTGGCTCTCGGTGTGAACCTATCTCCTCTGTCTTACCAGTACTACAACCAACTCAGGGCCAGCGTATTCAAGTTAGTTTTATAGCTATTTATAAGTTTTATAGTTATTTATAAGTTTTATAGCTATTTATAAGTTTTATAGTTATTTATAATGGTTTTGTAGTAATTCTTATAACAACCAATATCCAACAGTTAATGAAATTTTGATTATGAACTTTCGATGGTTTTGTTTCTCTGATAATATATGATGGATCGTCTTCTTTATGTCGAGGTCGATATCTATTTAGTATTTATCTAATTAGTCTAATTAGTATTTATCTAATTAGTCTAATTAGTATTTACCATCCGTAGGTATGAACTTCTAGTGGACAGACTCTTCCTGCAAGACGTGCGTCTAACAGCTGGTAACCACGAAGCTTACTTCGTATTTGAGGATCTAGTAGTTCAAATACTGCTATGTTTTAGCAGAGATACTCAGTTCTTAGATCACTTCAAGAGCACGTCTGCTAGTCCACCACATGCGTACACTAGGAATAACATGGGTGAGTGAATTGTTCTTGCTAAGCCTTCGGTAAGACGCACTTTATCCCTCAAGTTATAGGCATTTTTAGAATGCGACAATTATAAACACTTGTTTTCCATTGTGAGTTTAAATTTTGTTGAGAAGTCAAATGGTGCATGAATTTGTTTAAATATTTCATACTGGAATACTGCATGTACTTTTACAGAATTTGTAAATCTAAATGCTGCATGTTTTGCATGTCGCATGACATACCCCCTTTGCATGGTACCTTACCCCGGAACTCCCTGTACCGTGTCTAGGTGAAACAGATCAGACAGTGGTGTACCCTCCTAACGGCATCATTCCCTTCCACGGGTTCTCCCTCTTCATCGCTCCCATGTGCTTTATTTGGAGTGATCCTGTGATCTTGTATAACGTGTTTAAAGCGCTTTATACTAGGTTCTTCTTCAGACTTCACTCTCTGTCGAGCCATCCTCAAGGTGAGATTATTACAGTGGGGTTTTACAGATTTTTTCTTAATATACATTTTTAATTAAACAAGAATCAAGATAAGTTCAAATGTTTAAGTCATCTTCGTAATCGAAAATACGCAGTTTACCGGTGCTTCATACAATTAGGGCCAGTTAGCTGTTGTAATTCTTCCACCATCTCGTCTCTCGATATATTATGTCTTTAGTAAGTGAGGGATTACATACATACATGCTACATACGTTTGTAAGTGAGAGATTACAGCTCACTAATCCCAGGTATCCTATCTCTGTGCCAACAGTTTGAGACAATGTTACAGACCCACCAGCCCCAGCTGTTTTACCATCTCCGAGAAATGGGATCTCATCCTCTCAAACACGCTTTCAACTGGATCATGCACGCCTTCGCAGGTTAGGGATATTTCATTTTGTATTTGCCTTGTCACTCTTTCGATTCGCGGTCGCCTAAATATCTTGTGTCTGCAAACCATATGACATGGAAACGTTCAGTTCTTTGAATGACTGTCGGAACTACCTGTGACCTCGTGCTCTTCTGCAGTCAACAAATAAAGCTAATCTATCCCAGGTTATCTAGAGACGTGCTCTTCTGCAGTCAACAAATAAAGCTAATCTATCCCAGGTTACCTAGAGACGTCCCAACTCTTGTTACTCTGGGATCGTGTGATTGGTTACGGAACTTTAGAGATACTACCCGTGTTGGCTGTAGCTGTGTTCGCTTTCAGACGTAACAATCTCATGGAGGTAGGTGTTACTAGGTGTCACTAGGTGTTACTAGGTGTTGTTAGGTGTTACTAACTGTTAGGCCAATACAAGACGTCCCAACTATTGTTACTCTGGGATCGTGTGATTGGTTACGGAACTTTAGAGATACTACCCGTGTTGGCTGTAGCTGTGTTTGCTTTCAGACGTAACAATCTCATGGAGGTAGGTGTTAGCAATAACCAGCAATGTTAAAGAGTTGTCCTGACTTAACAACCAAGTAACACGTTATGTTAAAACAGTATTAACAATGGTAGTTGCCCGAAACTCTCTTGTTTCTTAGGACAGTACGATGGTGAAGCTTGGTGACTGTTCACGTTGTGATACAATTTGAGATGCGATTGTAATTTGACTTCCACTATAGGAACCAATATGTAATATTTTCAAATTAAATTTACTCTAAGATCCAGAGGTAAGACTTTTGAGAACTTCTACACTCAGGTGACAACCCCCTCTGAAGCGGAGGCAGTTTTACAGGACGTGTCCAGTCTGAAAGTAATACCTCTCCTACAATACTGTCTGTATGCTAGGATACTTCACCCTGTCTGAAGTTATTGTTGTAGTTACCATTGTTACGCGACACTTCTGAAGTACTAGTTATTGTCACGTGACACTTGTCAGATGTTAGGATCTTATGTCTCGTTACTCACGTTTAATTTAGGTTGACGTATACGCCACCGCCCTTAAAATTCAGAATCTTGTTGATTACCTTATGTACAGATAAAATGTTGATCAAATCAGAGAGTGATTTTGTCATTTAAAGAGGCCGAGTCAGAAACAGATGGCACCTTTTCGTTATAGTACATACTTACTATTGTTTATGTCTTTGACTGAGTTAATATAGTCGATTTTTCTGAGAAAGATACAGTATGCAGTCTGATAGTATGATAGAGACCAATGTTTAATATTTATATTAGAATTAAAATAATAAAATAGGAGTTGTACAGATTGTTTATAGTTTAGGTGTGCATAGCATTTAATATCAAAAATTTTATATTTATATTATGTTAAACTTTATACGCGTCAGATATGTAAATATGTAAATTGTAATTTATATTTATAATAGTGTAAGATAACAAACATTTGTTCCTATGTTGATAATTGTTTGAATTGGTTCCATTTTCCTAATATCAATTTTGAAACACAAGGAAATATATTTTTTAGAAATACTAATATTTTTACCAGTCTCCACATGGTTAGTGCCGTTGATGACTTATAAAGTAGTGGTCTGAATCTTTGTGAGGATACACCCCAGTTCTGCTTCTGAGGCACTCTTAAAAATGAAATGGAAAAACAATACGGAACTTCCGACAGTAATTTGCTGTCAAGTGTCCTCACCTTGTGTGGACCCCGTATATAACGAAGCTGTAGACTTAACGACAAAATGTGACTTTAGTCAACCAATTTCTAAATGACACAACCTCTTCCGAGCGTAATTTCGACTAACATTTATTTAGGGTTACAGCAATATAATAGTCCGGCGATTAAAGTTTCATAAAATTCTAACACTTATAGAATCGTATCTTATAGAATCAGTCAAGGCGGTCAAGAGCTATTATCTATGCAACAATTCCCCAATATTAACCAGAATCTATGTCTGCTCTAGATAGCAATGCAGTCAGCAGATTACTACTTCTCCCAGATTCAGGCCATACTGACCTACAATGGCAACGAGCTTGACATTCAGGTAAGTTATGAAAGCATATTAATCGTTACATTACAGTTTTTAGTTCAATTGTTAGATTTCTAAACGATATTGTCCTTTGATTGTAAACGATTGTTAATGAACGCCATGTTCTACAAGTACATATATTATATTACCTATGATCTGAGAGCTGAGAACCCCCAGATTTCCCGCCCAATACCATGATTTCCCAGATTAACTATGGAATGCTGCTTCTGTCAACGATTTGTTGGTGTTTCACTGTGTTACGAGTCTTTAACACGATAAAGGACTTCTGCTGGTTTACTTTCTCTTGCCTCTACATCTTGTTCGGAGTTCAGATAGGTAAATCAATGTTCGATGATCTATCTAATACTTTTTGTAAATATTTTAGTTAACATTTAAACTAACAAATGAATTGAATTACTGTTTTTTCGTTCGTAACGGTAAAGATGATAACATATTTTGTCTCCTCTGATATTTAAAATTAAAATTACACCCAGCTTCTCTCTAAAGAAAGACTCACTAAGTTCTTAACGATAAAGATGGTAACATTAACATTTTCCTCTCATATATCTAAAATTAAATTCCACCCCACCCCTCCAGGTGTGTGTATGTTTATCCACTGTATAGGGATATCTGGGGTGTGGTGTGCTATGGTGGGGTTCGCTTACCGTATGTGGGTCCACTCCCCCGCTGATCCTGTGCTGACCAACAAACTGGTTGTGTTCGCTACTTTTGGGAGCTATCTGTGGGCTAACTTCCACTACTTCAGGTGAGAGGGTGTTCTAGGTGGTACTGCGAATGTATTATTGGTTCAATAATTCTTCTTGGAAACGATTATAGTTCTTAGATGTGTCTTATCTAAAGATCTAAGAACTATATAATCGTTTCCATACACATTGTGTATGACCTGTATCTCTGTATGTGACTGTTAGAGGGAAACCACTAGTAACACAAGAAATGTTACTGAAGTTTACCGCCTTATCGGGTGTAGTAATCTTAGTTGTAATCTAATATATGCGATGACGTAAGCAGTATCGTCCTGAAATTATTCCCAAACTCGAACTGCAGTACTAGTCTCCAGTTTCCATGTAGATTCTATGGAAACTGCAAACCATTTCCCCCCAAATCTGCCGTTTTCGTTTGGTTTGACTTGAAATTTTTCAGAGCGGAGGAAAGTTACATCACGTTCACCACTATTTGCCACATTTTAGCCACATGGCTAGGATATGAAGCCAACAACATCTGGATTAAGTCCCATCAGTCGAGAGAAGAAAAGCACCAGGCCAAAGCACGATGAGGTAGCTCTAGAAACTTACAATAACAAGGCTAATTGGCTTGATTAGGTAACTGACCACTGTTTAACGGACGTTATAGTAATAGGCAGAAAGAAAAAAGGGTTTTATTTGTAGGATTTTCAGAATTAGGTTTTCTCAAAGATTGTAGATTGATCGTTAAATTGAGTGTTTGTGAAGTTAAAAGTTTTAATCCGGCGAGCAGAAAAATGACCAATGATTGGTCAATTCAATGTTGATTTCAGTAACTTAGAATTGTCTCGATTTTATTCACCTTACTTGATACTCATTATTATTGCCATATTAAGGGGAGATACACCAAAAACGTTTTTGCTCCGAACATCGATTTTATTTTATATTATGGTTAAATAGACAAAAAGAATAAGATTGCACACCTTCAAAATTTTCTAAAAATATTCCCTCATCGAGAAAAAAAATATTTTTCTTTTTCGAAAATTTTTAAAATTTGGAGAAGTCTGTCACTGTAATACCGATAGTTCGGCCAATTTAAAAGTGTTTTGGCTGATTTTGTTACTGAACATTACTTACACTCTGTACAAGACAACCCTATAAAGGATTATATAATTGAACAATAAATGACCAAGTTACAGACCGAACAAGGTGGAAAAAGAAAAATTGGGATTTTTGCCTACCACCAAAGTTGTACATTTTACCACTCGCCCAGGTCATCAGATATCGCTTCAAAAATTCTTGTGAGTGTAGTTGATGATCATGGAAAGCTTTTTGGAACAGGATTTCTCTCAATTTTGAGTTTTAAGCTATGAAATGTGGCCTCAAACGACTTAGTAAAATTCATCGTAAAAAGGGCCAAAAATGGCAGAATTAAGGCTTAAAATGCTTATTACTCAAAAAGTATCATTTTTTTGATATAATTTTTACAGAATCGTAATCAGCTTGATCAGACGAATCTTTAGTACCAAATAGGTGATTTAGAAGACAAATTGTCTTAAATAATTTTCTAGCTCGAACACAAGGGTCCCCCCTTGTATAAATTTTGTACAAATTGTACACATTTTTTTACAAATTTTGTGTCTTTAACTATTATAAATTTGGTACTAAAAGATTCGTCTTACCAAGCTGATTACGATTCTGTAAAAATTATTTCAAAAAAACTGATACTTTTTGAGTAATAAGCATTTTAAGCCTTAAATCTGCCATGTTTGGCCCTTTTTTACGATGAATTTTACTAAGTCGTTTAGGCCACATTTCATAGCTTAAAACTCAAAATTGAGAGAAATCCTGTTCCAAAAAGCTTTCCATGATCATCAACTACACTCACAAGAATTTTTGAAGCGATATCTGATGACCTGGGCGAGTGGTAAAATGTACAACTTTGGTGGTAGCCGGTAGGCAAAAATCCCAATTTTTCTTTTTCCACTTTGTTCGGTCTGTAACTTGGTCATTTATTGTTCAATTATATAATCCTTTATAGGGTTGTCTTGTACGGAGTGTAAGTAATGTTCAGTAACAAAATCAGCCAAAACACTTTTAAAATGGCCGAACTATCGGTATTACAGTGACAGACTTCTCCAAATTTTAAAAATTTTCGAAAAAGAAAAATATATTTTTTCTCGATGAGGGAATATTTTTAGAAAATTTTGAAGGTGTGCAATCTTATTCTTTTTGTCTATTTAACCATGATATAAAATAAAATCGATGTTCGGATTAAAAACGTTTTTGGTGTATCTCCCCTTAATGCAATATTTTTTATACCTTTTAGTAACTAAGTAATGAAATATTTTTAAACGGGTTTCTTCAAATTTATTTTTGAGAGAACATAAATTTTAAAACTGAATTTTCAATCATGTTAGATTATGCTACGCAGTATGAAAATATATAATTTGCAAACTTAAAAACTGATTTAATTTTTATCATAAATTATATATTATTGCATTTCACAATGTTTTTTCATTTGTTTGGGTAAATTCAATTTTTGAATAACTGACTTTATATTAAAAATAATCTGATATTAGGTAGGAAAACATTTCTCATTTCCACATTTTAAGTTTCCAAACAATATGATGTCGAAAATATCGCTTTCATTTCACGGTGATTTATCCCAAATTAATTATACAAATCGAACTGAAAGAATGATCTCGAACAGTTACACAACTAGTACAAAACTAATTAAGTAATTAATTAATTTACTAATTAACTAATTATCACACAAGAAACTAGGTCATAAAATCATGTTTCGTGCGGGGGAACCAAAATGGGATCAATCAACAATGTCCGGGAGACTGAAGCACTTTCTTAAACAGGTAATTAATTAATTAATTAATTAATTAATATACTGGTAGATTGATTTGCGGGTACAACCCCTTCACTGTCATGTGTTTTCTTCTATAATCCTTAAGTCCTTAGCACGCTATTTCTTTTCTACTCGATAACTGTCTGTGATGACAAAAAGTGACTTTATCTCAAAACGTATTAATACGTTATTTAATCAATAATTCCAGGTTGATCTGAGATATCTGTTCTACAGCCACTCCAAACTTGAAGACTGCACTAAAATGATAGAGGAACATCAGCAAGGGTGTACGAAATATTCCAGTAAGTGTGACTTTTCCTTTTTTTAACTGTTTCGCAGAAAGTGGCTTTTGAAAGAAATATTAATAATATTGTGATTCTGTCAAGAAAAATATGGATCAACCAGCTTTGTTTTACTGGGGATATTGGCTGTGCTGCCTTTTCTTTAATTTTGGAAAATTTGTATGGTCATCCTAGCTCTCTTTAATCTGTAGAAATAACAGCACCTAATATTAAAGACAAAGAACTATGGAATGCTCAGTATGCGGTGTTTGGTAGAATACACCCTGATACGAAGGAGGCGGTACCCCTCCCCTTCTCCATGACAGGGTTAGTATTGTGTGCATTTAACACTAATTTGTGTTAGCATTGTGTGCATTATGTATATTTATATTTGATTGTAATTAAAGATTTTAAGGCGTTAGTGCCGAGTAATGCCTCTGGGTAGTGCTCCTCAATCAGTAAAAGGGGTTTTGACCTGGTGCCACCAGAAAGCGTTAATATCAAAGAAATGTTTTGAAAGCGTTAATTTTGATGTCATTAATAAGCTGCAGTTAGTAAACATTTATAATCACCGAATATTTACTTATTAAGTTGTACGTTGCAGGTTCAGCCCAGCTAACATCCCGATATGTGCTCTTATGATAATGCCTGGAACTAGCCCGCTTGTGGCGTCTTTCTACCAAGTTGCCAATCAAACTATGAACGCAGGTTAGTGAACGTGTTTTTTTTGTTGTTTTTTTTGGTGCAACACTTACTGACTTGACTCTTGCGAGAAAGCGACCCATGAGAACGATGGGTCCTACCGAAACGTGTAATTGAATACTAAACCGCTTTCGGTGGACACCTTTGCAAATATTACCACGTTTTAAATGCTCATTATTGAGGTGCGTTCGAGTTCAAATTGTCCATCAGCTTGTCACCTGGACAAAATACGAAAATCTGTCAAGTTGAGATGTTATTAACCGATTGCTGCAGGGTTCAACTACTGTAACCGCAACTCTAACAATCCCACCGTGATGAGTTAATGCACATATAATTATATTAGCACTTTTTGTTTGTGTCATGTGTCATGTGTCATGTGTCATGTGTCATGTGTCATGTGTCATGTGTCATGTGTCATGTGTCATGTGTCATGTGTCATGTGTCATGTGTCATGTGTCATGTGTCATGTGTCATGTGTCATGTGTCATGTGTCATGTGTCATGTGTCATGTGTCATGTGTCATGTGTCATGTGTCATGTGTCATGTGTCATGTGTCATGTGTCATGTGTCATGTGTCATGTGTCATGTGTCATGTGTCATGTGTCATGTGTCATGTGTCATGTGTCATGTGTCATGTGTCATGTGTCATGTGTCATGTGTCATGTGTCATGTGTCATGTGTCATGTGTCATGTGTCATGTGTATGATATGGATCCTTACTTGCATGAGTACACAGCTTTAGCAGCTGTTTCTAGATACCCCCATACTTCCAATGGCTGACAAAACAGTGTGCTGCTGAATAGTAATTTATCTTTAATGTAGTGGGTAGGATGAATGTATTAAACCCATTATACAGTTATATTAAACTAGGTGCAGTATTATTTTGTATTTTCATTTTCCCTCTGAAGCTTTGGCTAAATTCAACGGGTCAACAGTCAGAGTGCCAATCATGATCATACAAGTAGAGTTGTCATTAACAAATTCCTGCAGGTTTCAACTACTGTAACCGTAACGCCAGTAAGGAGACCACCACGACCCAGATGGTGGGTGGGTATGTGGGTGCAGTAACTCTGGCCCTCACTGTGGCAGCCACTCTTCGGAAGGCTATCACCAACAATCCCAGGTATTTTGTCGGGATTTTCGGCGACGATTACTTTCGATTATGTATTTTACATACCTGCACTAGCTTCTCATTAATTGTAAATAATCATTAAATAAATAATAACCATTAAATAAAGTAATACTTATTTGATAATGTTCATAATAAGATAATTATGATGCTTCTCACATTGTGCTTTTTCTATACAATTTTTGTTTATAATTCTAGTCAGATGCTTTCAGATTAAGCGCACCGATGAAAAGAACACTGGCCACTTTCTTACCGTTCCCAGCAGTTGTATCAGCCAGCGTATGCAACATTGTGCTCATGAGAAACGGAGAGTTTTTCAATGGTGAGTGATCAGTCGACATTTTAAGAACTATTTTAGCAAATTGTTCAGCGTGATAAATTGATTTAAACCTTGTGAATTTATTCAAGTATTGATGATTGAACCATTTACTTCTTTACCTTAGGTACCACTTTTAAAAAATTTCCCTCAAATCTCGTACTTTTTATGGTGATTTATTGCTGTACTCTGTAAAATTTGAAAAGTATTTAATAAAATGATCTGCTCAGGTATGTAAAATTTGAAAAGTATTTAATAAAATGATCTGCTCAGGTGTGGAGGTGTTTAACGAGGACGGTACCAGTGCAGGGGTATCCCACAAAGCAGCTCGTAACGCTATCTTCACCACCGCTCTTACTCGCATCGTCATGCCGACTCCTATCTTCTTCCTACCACCTGCTGGGATCGCTATTCTGGAGCGCACTACTAGCATCTTTAAGAAGTGAGATATTTTAGGTGTAAAAATGATTTGTTAATTACAAGCTCCCGACCTGACCCTTTCTTTAAGGTGAATCCCTGTTTCAAAGCCAATAGGCGAGAGTCCAAGTGAGCAACCTATACTAATTACCAAGGTGTATAAGTTAATTACTTATAGAACTGTATCTGGGAAATCATTGATTAATTTGTAAGGTATGCGACTGACTATCTGTGCACTGAGATTCGAATATCCATCAATAAATATCTCTCAAGTCCAACAAGGACGGTACATGACCTCCAATAATATGATTACATTATAAAATCAAGATGAAGACGTTTTCACTTCAGTTGTATATCTTTTGTTTGCTGTGTTGATATATCCAGAAATTAGCCAGAACTGATAGCTAGGGTAGTTAAACTACTCCTAGCTCACAGTGGGTTACATATTGATATATTCATTATTCTAACAGCTGATGGATCTTATACTGATCATGTAATTTGTCACGAGTTGGAGAGGTTTACCAGACTCTCCGGTTCTCATCATATTAATATCAACGTCTACTAATCAAGTAGTAGCAGGATATATTAGTAGATCACCACATTAAACTTGATGAGCACGAGATATTCTCCCCGTGAGCTGATATTAAAGTCCGGGGTCGAACGCCACCAACTTATTTCTGGACTGAAATTTGACTGATCTAGGGGCGCTTTCGTGGATGTTTCAACGCGTGGCTGAGATAGTTGTAAATTTGTTTGTCACATAACAAGGCGATCACGCGTCATGTGTCATGCCTTATATCTGGAGTACCCATCTAGACTTGATAATATCAAATATGTCTCCTGATTTATCTTTTCTTATCGCGCGGCTCATCACTCTGATCATGTTATCTTCTCTCTACGGTCCGACTTCATATTGTGGTCCGATATTATAACTTTTTCTGAGTCTGTAGATCATTAAATGAACTACCCTACTCAGTGAGATCATTATCATCTGTAGAATGTTTTAAAAATGCGCTAAAGACGTTTTATTTCCACCTAGCTTTTGATAATATTTCTAATATTTGTCCATAAAGTCTGAATTGATATGAAAGTGCATAATTTTGGGAACTTCTTACAAATATTTGTTCATAAAATGTGAACTGATAAAAAGTCCATAATCTTGGTATTTCATCACTAAGTCTCGCTTGAATGACTTAAATGTACATCTTTGTTGGGTATATTTTAATGTCGAAGCGTGTAATAAATGTTAGAATTTATTTATTTATTTATAAATTTGATTGGCACCCGTTGCCAAATCGTTTCATTTTCATCTTGAACATTTTAAAGAATGCGCGATTATTCGTGCTAAATATTTACGATGTATGAGGCTAAAAGTCGCCCAAGTATTTCAAATCATATTAACACTCTGCAGAACTCCCAAAGCTAGAGAGAGAGAGAGAGAGAGTTGACTGTTTTGTTTTATTTCATACACCCTAAACAATATAATATGAAAAGTAAATAAGGAGCCAATACGGTGAATACGCCCTCTTCACCGTACCTGACCGTTAAGGTGGTTGCTAAACGAGTACCTGATGAAAAAGGTTCAAGTAATCCAATCAGTTCACAATGATGTGGAGATATTGTGGCCTGGGTTGAGAGTCTTCTTTACTTGTGTGTGGTTCAGTAACAACACGGATTTCACTAATAATGGTTTACTTCCCCCTCGCTCACTACTGCTTGCCAAGCACCTTACTCAATCTTTGAGGTGCTTCTCAAGGGTTCTCAATTAATCGCTTGTAATTTTCTTCCTTTGAAGTGTTATATATGGTCATTGCTTTACGAATTTACGAGCACGGCAGCGCGTGCATCAGTGGAACCTGCATATTATTTTCAAAAAACTGCAATATCATTAAAGATTTTTCTTTCGACTTTTTTTGAGGAGTTATTTATTTGGTCCTTGTTACTTCTTTTTCATTTCCTCTATCATCTCATCGAAGAGATTTGATCGCCTTTAAATCAGTCGGCTTCAACGCTTTACTTTGTGGTCAGTCAAGCTGAACCGCTGGTATTCAGAGAGATTGCGAAGGAATTCTCATAATCTCATGGCTATTGGCTAATGGCTTCTTTTAATACCCACAGAAGTTTCCTGATTATAATACTATACGGATAACCGGCCGTTCTTCAGTCGTAACCCACCTTGAGTATTTTCGTAGAAGTGGTCTCCAGATATCTACCTGCTACCACCTTACTTCCATTATTATACCACGTAGTACGTTTTTACTCTGACTTTAAAATATTTCTACTCATAGTCAGAGTCCGACCTAAGACCTAGGTGTCAATATTGCGGTATCAATTTAATAAAATAGTAAGATTCTTAGAGGGTCGGTTTACTCATTAGCGACTGTTAAAGATATTTTTTAGGACACCTGGTCTAAATAATATGTTGAAACAACCAGGCCAGTGGGCCAGATTTCTCAGGTGTTGACCTAAACCGTGACCTTTGAATATTTGAGCGTTCGGTATTAAATAAGATGACCTTCAACTTCGGTTTAAATGGCAGTTTTTGATTTAAACGTCTTAAAAGAATAAATTCAGTGGGTCAGCAACTCCAACACAGATATCACTGTCTCAATATTTCACTGTCGTACCGGCTAACACCTACCCTGACCACACCTTATTCTTTGAGGGGGTTCTAGTATACAACATCTCGTGCTCTCAGCGCAGTTCTATTACAGTTTCACCCTTTTAGTGACCAGGTTTCTGGGGTGATACTATGGCGTATTGCATATATATAGGATATAATCTAATTCAGAGGACCATTTCATCTGTTAGCGGCTTTTAATGATACTGTTTAAAATACAGCTCATTTATAGACCCGAGTTGTCAGGACTTAAACTTAACCGTTAAGTGTTCGAGCATTGCATTTTGAGTGGGTTTGGTTTACGTTATCATGGTTTACGTTATCATGGTTGTTGGTGGTCGTCCCTGGTAGTTAGTCTTCGCACGTGTAGTTCTTCACACGTGCAGTTATATAAAACTCCTGCACAGATTTTACTATTTCACTATCTCACTATTTCACTATTTGACTATCTCACTATCTCACTATCTCACTATCTCACTATCTCACTATCTCACTATCTCACTGTCTCACTATTATTTCATCTTAATGGTTAATAACATCTCTTGCCCAGCAGCTAACTTTATACTATCTCGGAGAGGCTTCTCAATTAATCACATGTAATGTTCTTGTTATGAAGTCGTATATTACGAGCTGATGATGATCACCGCTTGGCGGGAGAGCTACACAGTGCACATGTGTCTAATTTAACATTGCATCATTGGAACCCCATCTTATTTACAACTCTCTATCAAGCAATATTATTGAAGTTTTCAACTTACTTTTGTAATTATATTATTCAGCCGGTCACTCAAGCTGGCATTAGAAAGATCGAAACTTATATTGCAGCAGAAATTTGCATTTTCAGTACGTGTTTTTACTTTTTAGTTATTCACCTTAATGTCACTTTATTCATATCTCAAATTTGATCATATTCGCCTCATCACTCATTTTTAACGTATTTCTTGGACAGTCATTCAAGCTGGGATAAGTACTCTACTATAGATTGCTTGTGAATTTACATTTTCACTGGAGTTGTTATTAATGAATTTTCCAGATTATATAATACGGACTTTACTCTTCTGTTATTGGGACCACCTTGTGAATATTCTCAGAAGTGGTCACAATATAAATAGAAAGTTATTTGTATTTAACTCATTTCATGTAGTATATTTTAACTGTAACTTTAAAATATTCCCACAGCTAGGAATCATGGTCTTGGTCACAATATTCTGGTATCGGTTTAATAAAATAAATATTATTATTAGTATCGTTTATCATTAAAATACCTGGTTTAGATATGTTGCGCTAACTGAAGCTTCTAGGTGTTCAGCTAAACCAGGACATGAATAATCGCATTTGTGCTATTGGGCTATTGATTGAAGTGGTCCTCAGTTTTTTAAGTGGCAGTAGCTAGTCTCTGACAGATAGTCTTTAGTCTTGTGGTTCAGGGCAGTCCCTAGTCCCTGACAGATAGTCTTTAGTCTTGTGGTTCAGGGCAGTCCCTAGTCCCTGACAGATAATCTTTAGTCTTGTGATCAACTCCAAACAGATTTCACTGTCCGCCCTGACCTCATCTGACTTATTAACACCCTCTCGGAGAGGCTTCTCAATTAATCACATGTCATTTTCTTGTTATGAAGTCGTATATACGAGCTGATAGTTGTATGATCATTGCTTCACGGGCCGAGCGAACTGTGTCCGACTTATTATTGTATTATTTGAGCCTCCATCATATTTACAACTCTTCATGTTGCAATTTCATTGGATTTTTAAACTTCTTATTACTTTATTCATTATGTTATTCAGCCGGTCACCCAAGCTGGGATTAGAATGATTAAAAGTTCAAACATATGTCGCAGCAGAAGTTCGCATTTTCAGCACGTCGTGTTCTACTCAATCACCTTATTGGGACACATCGTGTTTAACTCCGCAGAAGTGGCCGCGGTAAAGCAATTTATTTCAAGTCAGGATTTCCCTGGGTCGAAGTAACATTTTCATAGTCTTTATTTCTATGCCGCGTTCGTTGGACGAGTAGGGTTTGTTCTTTCACCTTTGAAAATTCCCACTGATATAAATTAAGGTCTTCATCGCAATATTTTGGTGTCCCTCCCTAACAATAAAATGTCATTCGTGAAAGACCATTTAACTTAGAAATAAAGTTTGAGACACCAAAATAATAATTATGTTGAACAAACGAGCGCTCTTAGGAGTTGCGCTAAATTTTATCGTTAGACATCGCACTTTAGGCTGATTGGCGTTAGTTGTAATTATGAAACCGTAAAGAAACACAGTACACAACACACACAATACACAGATACACAGCTACCCTCCTGGTCGCGTCAGTATACTTACCTCCCGTCAGTTTACTTACCTCCCGTCAGTATTCTTACCTCCCGTCAGTATTCTTACCTCCCGTCAGTATACTTACCTCCCGTCAGTATTCTTACCTCCCGTCAGTATACTTACCTCCCGTCAGTATACTTACCTCCCGTCAGTATTCCTACCTCCCGTCAGTATACTTACCTCCAGTCAGTATACTTACCTCCCGTCAGTATACTTATCTCCCGTCAGTATACTTACTTAATACTTACAGCACTTATGTCTTAGACTTAGAGTAGGTTTGGCTAAACCAGACACCAGAGTCAATACACCAGATAATATGATAAAAGGTCCACCCTCGCAAGAATCCAGATCTTAACCGGCCAGATATATTTACACCATTCGCCCAGGTTCCCAAAGACTCGTATCCCGATCACCGTTGCCCTGTCAACCCTAGGACTCTACCTTGGAATACCGCTAGCAGTGGCGTGCTTCCCTCAAACCAGTATCCTAGCTGTAGACAAGCTGGAGCCTACTTGTAACCCTACCGGGAGTTTTGTTTATTACAACAAGGGTTTGTAACGCGTAACAAGGGTTTGTAACGCGTAACAAGGGTTTGTAACGCGATGATCTGAAACCCAATTGTAATTATAGCTAGGGTTTGTAATGTTTGATCTTTAAAACTGTGTTTATGATAATACCGGAGGTGCTAGGGAGACACACATATATCACAGTTTCTACTGCAGCATGGACCTTTTAATTAACGATTGTTTTTAACATAATGGGAGGTATAGACTATACAAACATTTTAACTTGCAGCTCATCTCTCAGCAAAGGGAAGTGTTAAGATATTCAGGGCACGTTTTGTACTGTCATTTTGGCTTTTGTTAGAATCTTCATTTCTATTGATATTTTGTTGAAGGAAAGGCTGAACTAAGGTGATTATGAATATAATTCTTGAAGAAGCATTCTATGCACGGATATTGGTGATAGCCCGTCCTCTACAAAATACTATAGCATGAAGCGGGGGTTTTGCTCGTTTTATGTTTAAGAATAGATACATTTACATAGTTTCCGGTTGTTATTTTCCAGACTGCACGTTATGGTCCTCACAGAGGTTTTATTGTCTGTATTAAACATAATTGTCTATTGATTTTTTGTGTCTAGTCTAATCGATTAAAATGATTTGATTCTGCGAAATAAATATTGTGAATTTTTGCTTTTTTGATTTTCCAAATTACATTGTATCGGAGAATATAATGTTTTAGAAAAGTATACCTCGACTTTTATTTATACATTATGAAGACTTAACGCAATTATTTCTAGATTCTTAGGTTTATATTATAGAGTGAATTAATTATATTTCTATATTTGATAGTACTAGTACTTAATAATCAAATATATCCTGACAAGATAGACATTGCTCTATTTAGATTTAATAATTGTATACGTTTTCTTGGGTTCTCTCTTTTTTTAAACTGCTTTTTCCGTTTTATAATTTCCTTAAGTTCAGACTCATCACGGTTTTGATGATGCACCATGTTTGTATAAAGTAAGTTTTAGTCAAGTAATTTTGATTTATTGTGACATATTATTTAGATGTTGTTCGATTGTAAATACTATAACATACATCCGATGCACGAAAAACTGCCCTGGAATTGTTATCTACGTACGCGTTTAAAAGTTATCACACTTTAAGTTGGTTGATAAATTTGTTGGCGTTTCATCGTCAATGTTTTTACTTTTTGTAACTTTTAATAACCGCAATGAAGCGTTCATATCTCGAAATCTAGGGCCAGCATTTCGTGCGCCGGATGTACTGCTTGAATCAGTGTACTTGTAATTTCAATTATTAAGATTGGCTTCAAATTTATAATAAATTATGTTCAGTTTGTTGTTTCTATTGCTGTAAATCATATTGCTCGTTTGGCTTTATGCCAAGTCGGTCGATTAGACAAGAAGCAGATAAAAAGGTTAACCCAGGACTCAGGAATAAGACACGTAGTTAATAAGCAAACAACCAGTAACATCACGTTCTTAAAATGCTCATTTTACTTTATTCAGCAGCCATATGGTTACATTGTAACCGGCCAATAACAGGAGCTGAAGGTGCAATTATAAGAGGGCAGAGGTCAGAACTCTGATCACCTCCATTACACTGTATCACACTAATTACACTAATTACTCACTAATTACACTGTATCACACTAATTACAATAATTACACAATAATTACACTGTATCACACTAATTACACTAATTACACAATAATTACACTGTATCACACTAATTGCACTAATTACACAATAATTACACTGTATCACACTAATTGCACTAATTACACAATAATTACACTGTATCACACTAATTGCACTAATTACACAATAATTACACTGTATCACATTACCCATCGCTTAACTCATCCAGCACAATCACTACTATACTAAATAATCAGCAGACTACAATAACTAATTAGTGCCTAGTACTACGTTCATCCTTTTAAATAAAACATAACAATACCTCAAAATATTGAATAAATGTATGAAGAAGTGAAATGATATCACCACATCCTGTATTCTATTGTCAGACTACTGCTTGCTTCTATTACTGTACAGGAAGTGTGAATAAAGTTAATGGTTTGGTTCTACTTCAGTTTGTGTTTCCTTTATTGTTCACGTTTATTTGAAGTATTAAGCTGCTTTGCGGGTTAGAAATTACTAATATAATTCCTCTTGTGGATTCCGCTGAATACGACGATTTTATTTAGTCCATAGATAAAGCTGGTTTCGTATAAATAGAATATTTTAATCATTCTATTGAGAAGTTGGGTAGAATAATGATAGAAATCCCATAATATTTGGTCAGTATAGGTCATGGCTTGTACTTTCATCCAGCAATAAGCAACTATGATAACTGCCGAGATAGATGAACAACAATTACTGTTATGCCAAAATATAGTAATTGCTGTTTTAATGGTTAATGGTTGCTGTTAATGGTTCATTCCACAAAATTGTCAACCAACCTTTATTTCGACGGACGAAGACGGACAAATAAAATTATTCCTTAATTCCTAAATTCGTGATAAAAATATCTTACATAGAGATTTCTGGTTTCATAGATTAAACACTAAACTGGGATAATTTAATGATTAGTGATTTATTATCATATCCTGCTTTGGCATAAGATGCATGATGATTGCTGAATCATCAAAATTAAGTGATCATTACGATTTGATATGTAGATTATAATACTCTTTACTCTTTAAAACCGCGGTTCTGCTTCAATGGTCCTATAACTTCGTGTTTGGCTTCTTTGCTCTTCTTTTACTTGCTCTGGATATTTTTAACTCCCGAAGTGTATATTAAGTACATGATTAGTTTCCTAGTAAATTAACCAATTTTGCCATTAAATAGTAAAAGTGTCATTATTAAAATAGACCAAACCGTTTCGTTTGAAATGAATTCATCATGCTTTTAATCTTGTCGCGTCGACGTACCTGCAAATTCTACTTGAAATTCTCTGCTGTGTGCATGCAAAATGAGCGGTAGACAATTTTGATAGTGTACCAATCCAAATATTATGCAATTCTCTTGCAGGTAGTATAAATGCAGCGGGGGGGGGGGGGGGGGGGGGGGGGGGGGGCCAATGACTACTTTTGGGGACTTGGGGAATTACGTCAACGATTTTACCCCGAGTCCCCATGATTTTAGTCCCCATTAGTCCCCAAAAGTCTCCATTAGTCCCCATTTAGATGATTTTTAGTCCCCATTAGTCCCCAAAAGTCTCCATTAGTCCCCATTTAGATTTATCCTACTCTTATCTTGGACAAAACATCTCGATCGTATCGTTATTAAACTAACTTGAAAACCATAAATAACTGTCAAAAATTCTGGGGACTTATGGGGACAAATGGTGAATTACGTCAACGAGTTGACCTCTAGTCCCCATGATTTTTAGTCCCCATTAGTCCCCAAAAGTCTCCATTGGTAGTCATTGGCCCCCCCCCCCCCAATGCAGCAGAGTTCTCTACATAATCTTGATATCTAGGTTGTTACCCACCTCTTTATTAATCTCACGTATAACATCTAGACTCTAGAGTGGAAATAAAGCTTTCCTTGCACCATCCTCTAGATTTGATTTGAAACTTTCATCAAATACAAACGACAATAAGATTGAAACATAGCATAACTGTGAAATATATGCTTAGGCTGCTAAAATGATCAGGTCAATGGTTGGGAGCAAGGTATTGTAAAATCACTGCGCTCGATTTGGGAGTCCAGTATTCAGTAACATAGATCACTCCAGTAGCATACAGCTAATGACTCTAACTGGGGGCCATTTTAATATTGCATAGATCCGCTTTGTAATGTCAGTAACATTTACAAATGATTCCTTGGGGACTAGTCCGTAGAACCAGACAATTTTTACTCAAAATAAATTATTTTAGATATTAAAAATCGACACAAAATTAAATATCGTAATACGAATACGTAAAACAATATAATATATGAATGAAATAGTCACAACTCACTTACACGACTCAGCTTGTAACTTTGTAAGTGAGTACTTGATTTCTGTTCCAATGACTAAGCGTTCAAATTCTATGAGATTTTCGGAGTTCCGGAAAGTTGTTAAGGAAAGTTGTTAAGGAAATTATTCGAGCTCATCCATTCGTTTGGGTTACCTTCTGCCTGGTACCTAATGAACAGTGATTTTATGCTGTTCTTGTAAATCATTATTTTGTGCAACGATGCAGGCGATACATTACACCCTCATAATGCATCAGAGACTGCGGACGTTCCTATTTTATTCCTAGCTTGTGTTTTGATACTCAGTTTGATTATCTTCATGTAACATAGTAAGATTATCCGAACTTGCAATAGAGAAGCCCCCTAAGAGCGCAATCTGTCCCATGACCTCTAATATGAGCTGCTCCGAAATTGTGGTCCGCCATTGTATCATTAGGTTTAAGTCTTGTGGTTTGGTCTGCTTTAATCTAGTAAGATAAGCATGCAGCTCTGCGTTGTTTTAATCTTCACTACGGTCATTGCTGCTGTAATCAACAGAATCATTTCTAGATTGTGCTTATATTAAAGCTTGACGTGGAACATCTGTTCAACGTTGAGTTTTATTTTATAAATTTGTTCAAAATTACGTTAATTCAATAATTACACGTGCCATTTGCGTCAGATACTAATTTGCGGCTTTAAAACGTTTTATCGATATTCAATACATAGTATAATTGTATCCAAACATCCATCAAAGGATTAACTTAATACCTACGTTTAGGTTATTAAATGCTTTAAATAACATCTCTATTATTTATAGTTTCTAGTAAACTAACCTCCAGTAAACCAGGAGATGATTACTAACGAGACCAGCTCCGTGGAGCCCATCACCAACCCCCTCCTCGGTACTGTCACCCTGACTCTAGCCATCATAACCGTCATCGGTAACCTCATCACCGTCCTGGCAATCCTCAAGTCCCGGGCCAGGTCCCTGAAGAGGCCCCACATTACCCTCATCTGCTGCCTGTCCATTGTGGACTTCTTCATCGGTCTCTTCCACGTGCTGTTTGTAGCTATAGCCTGTTTCACTGGCAGATGGCTGGATATCACGGGTGATCTGGTTGAGAAATGGGATCATCAGATCCTAAATAACAGGACCTGGTGTAAAATATCCTCCTTCCTGGTACAGCCTCTCTTCAAGATGGCTATATCCACTGTAGCTGTGATAGGGATGGAGCGGATCCTGACAATGAGGTTCCCTTTGAAGAGTGAGACTCTGATCACTAACGTGCGGTGTATCTTCGTCCTGCTCCTAACCTGGGTTATTGTAGCTTGTCTCCTCGCTCAGGAGATCTTCTCTCAGCACGTCACCGTCTACATGATGCCTGCTTACCAGTGCATTGCTAGCTACGGCTCTGCTAATGATGTTGAGTTCATCATCTGGACCAGCATGGCTGTTAACTCTGTCAGCTTCTTCATCATCATTGTTGCTAGTGTCTACACCTTCTTCACTCTCCTCAAACTCCGCCGTAAAGCTCAAACTCAGATGGGGGAAGCGAAGGACGCGTCACAAACGAAGATGATCATGACAGCAACAATCCTGACTCTGATGTGTATTGACACGAGCACCTGGTTGCCCCAGTACGTTGCCACAACCCTGCGGTACCTCCTCCCCGACACCCCTCTCTACTACACCCTGGTGGAGTACAACCTCCGTACATCTGTCTGGTGGATCCAGTACCTCTCCCCTGCTCTCAACCCTGTTATTTACGCGCTCCGGCTCAAGGCAGTGCGCCGTGAGATTCTGGTGCAGACGAAAGCGTTCGCACAGCTGGTATATCCGGACTACAAGAGGAATAGTGTGAATGCAGTTGCAGTTCATGTTCCCATGCTGAACAGGACCAGGGGTGATAGTTGCTGGAGTGAGGGAGGCCATGTTAAGTCTCCTGTAAAATAAAGCTACTCTTCCTCTGATCTATAGATCTTACTGATGTGTTACATTGACATACATTAACAGCTTCCTCGGCTGATACTGGAATGACTGCTGTTTTGGGAACCGAACTATCGAACTGTCACAACTAACTGTCACAACTGTCACAATTGTACTAGTGACAGTGGTTTATGAGTATTGCTGCATGTTTCCACAATGAAATATTCAAATGCTACGATTTTATTTCGAAAGTCAGTTATTGTGCCATATTCGCTTACCTATGATACCTGATGCGATGTTTAATGTTGTTGTGTTCTTAAGCAAAGCTGACAAAAAGGAGAGGTGAACTTGCTCCTAATGAAAGTAAGCTCTTATCCAATTTTATTGTTATTTAAATCTGTGTACTTTGATTTGTACGTATATTCGTCTCGAAACAGTTTCTTATCTGTTGAGTGTTAAGCAAAAAACTGACTTTTTATTAACGTATCAGTTAATATTCAATATCAGAACTGAATCATGATACTATCGTAATTAAAGTATGAACAAAATAATTACACTTTATGTTTTGTGTACAAATCTGGTGTCGCAGTTACAATGAAGATGTCCCTGTAAACAACATATAATATATAATATAGTAATATAACCGACACCAGTACTATAATATCTTATAAAAGTCAAAAAAGTGTTCTGAATCTACAGGTCCACAGTGTTTCTCAGTTTCTTCTCCTTTTTCCCGTACTTGTTGAGTCTGTCTGATATCTCTTTCAGTAGCTTAGCACCCTCAATCTTAGTCTTATAGGACCTCATCTTTATTATCACCTGATGTAGAATAATCAGTTTTAAAAACGTATTATCAAAGATATTGAGCCCACACAGATCATATAGATTACCTCCTCATTACTAACAGAGATATAGTTTTAAACTGTTTGAACCCCTAATCAATGTAACTGTTATGATCTTTATACATGATTAGTACTCTAACTTACCTCGTAAGCTGCCTTGAGTTCCATGAAGTGCTTGTTAGCCATCTCCCTCTTGTCGGGGGACTGTTTGTCAGGGTGGTACTCCAGTGTCAGGGCTCTGAACCTGGACAATGTAATTAGTAGCTAGTAGTAGTAACTTGTAGTAACTAGTAGTAACTAGTAGTAACTAGTAGTAACTAGTAGTAACTTGTAGTAACTTGTAATAACTATTAATAACTTGTAATTACTGGTTACCTGTGTGGAAATCAGGGTGCGTTTTCTAGGAGGAACCCACTTCTTAGAAGTGAGGAACATCCGATTTCACAGCGAGCAATTTCCTAAAAATCTGACTAAACTGGCAGTGTGGCATGTCGAGCCTATCATTACAATAACAGAAGATACAATATGTGTATTATGTGAATTCTACCCGTAAGAGCAAGTACTGACCTCTTCTTAAGAGCGGCATTAGTGATGTTCTCCTCAACTCCGATTATAACATAGGCTGCCTCCTCCGACAAGGAGTCTGTGTTGAAGAGTTGGAGTCTGTTCAATGCTGGCATTACTCCTATCACCCAGACCTACGAGTAATATGGAATACTAGTATACATTGTACATTATACATTACCAGCAAGTAATATGCGGTAATAAAATGAACCTACAAGTAATACGGAGTCAAAACCAAATCCAATAATATTGTGTCGTTTAACTGGCATTTATGCTAGTGTTATAATACTTTTAGTTTTATGTTCGTTAGAAACTCGGTAATAATCAGCAAAAAAAATGGCAATTGCAGGTACTGCAATAAATTAAAGTATTATTATCAAATCAAAAGACAGAATCGTGTACTAGCAGTAGCTGCTGTACCTCTTCATAAAATTGCCCCAGTGCTATCCGAGCTTCAATCCAGGCTGAAGAGTTGAAAAACTCTATCAGTACATCCTTCAAAGGGAGATCTATTCCTTGTATTGATATTGTCGCGTTATTGTAGTAGTAACACCCTGTCAATGTACAGTTATTATTATGTCGAAAATATCCGGTTGGGACTTGGGACGTATAATATTTTTTTGAAGGAACATTTTCAAAATATATACCACACATTAGAGTGTCGGATGACAAAGTTACTAGATAAAATGATATAATGATTGATAATGAAAATTAATTATTTTTATCTGAAGAATATAATCAAGAAACACGTACCTTGAAGTGAAACCATGACAACAAGTGTTGCCAAGAATATCTTCTTCTTGTGCTTCAGTATTTTGCCAGGACTCGGGCTCGTGTTATACGACTGATATCTAGCGTAACATACCACCGCTCCTGGAATTGTTGTTTCGGCTCAAAAATTCTTGTAATCTAAGAATCTAGGACCAATTTTGAGAAATCAACAGTTTGGTTTGCGGTAGTCTGTATGCAATGGTAATGGAGATTTATCTCCTTACCTTCGGCTTCAAACTTTTTATATGATATTTAATCTTGTCAAACTGAAAAATGCCTAATTCAATAATCAGAGTATCAGTGGACGGCTATAATAACATGTTCATATATATTATATGTTGTGTATTTCACTTGGTCAAACTTGGTCAAACTTGTTTTTCCAGTCGTAAACAGAAACCAGTTTTTTATTGTTATCTTGAAATAGATAAAACACGTACAGTGCGTGTTCCGTGTACCTACGTCAAGGATTAATGAATATAATCAGTAACATGTGGACTATGGAGTCAGGACACATACCTAGAGTTGTATCGAAGGGGAAGTATGTGATGGGAATGTGTAGAATGTACTGTAGCACGAAGAATGAGAGGTAGGATCCAAGAAGAGTGGCTTTGAAACTGCTTTTAGCGTGGAACACCTTTCCTACCAACCATACTCCTAGGGCCGGGGAGATGATTGTGTTATGCTTATCAGGTTGAGACAAGCTTTAGATACGGTCGGATTTACCGTGGAAAGTTAAAAACATTTCCATCCCATTACATAATACTCAATAAATGTATTTAATTGCAGTCGTGAAAATAGTTCAATACTACTCGTATATAACTCACCGATAGTTGAAGCCAGTGGTAGTATGAAGTTTCTAAACACTGTGTACTCGTTATAAGGTATAGATTTGGTCGCTAGAGTTCTGCTGTATGCTCCTATCACTAGCTGTATTATTATCATACCCACGTGCAACCTAGGCTGAAGTAATAAGAAATTAGTAAGGTTAACTTGATAGATCAGTCATCAGCGATTGAGAAATGATATCGACTGATTTTTAATGGGCTAACTATCAGCCCATATGTTGAAAATCAGGTGATAAACCTATTTGTTTATCCTTTTGAATCGCTATATATAAAATTGTATGTATTGGATCATTTGTGTCACGTTTTTTCTCCCTTCCATCTCACTCATTATTCATCACACACTTCCAATTTCCATCAAACACTCACAGCACATTGAGTTCTGACATACTGAAACACTAACCTTTTTGAAGTGTTTTTTCTCCAACTCTACCAAATCTTTGAAATAAGGGTGGTTGTTTGCTTGTTCGACGTATCGTGGAATGTAGAAGAAATCCATTATAAGTCCTGATATATGAATATAATAATAATATGAAATATTTTAGAAATACTTTACATTTAATTTACACTCTTGCTCCCTCAGCTGCGTTAAATTATTTAAGTGACTCACTTAAGTATGAAAATTCTTATTCAATACCAAATATTGCTAACAAACATCCTTTATATATAGCCAATAGTTTTGCGAGATGGGGCCCTCATTATTATCCCTGATATCTGCGGATGAGATGAACAAAGCACTCTACCCTGCCTTTCAACATCTTACTAAATGTCTCGGGTACGTTTCCTTAATTTGTGTTTCAATAATAACTTTTTAAACATTTAAAATATAATTTTAAACATGTCAGTGCCATCATTCAAATCTCAAACATAAAAAATATTTTGCAGAGTTGTGTGTTGTAATAATACCGCCTAGATAAAAATCCCGATTATAATATATATATATATTGAAAATTTGATATTAATTATTGGATAACTTGACTGGATTTTAACCCCAACATTCTCCACATCTCAGACTGTCAACACTAACATCAGACGTGCTCTACCTAAAGCTATCAGCCATCCTCCAAAGTTACTACCTCTACCACTACAACTCATCTCTTACAGAGCACTACTGGGGTGTCTCCCGCTCCTACCTTACTCCTTCATCAAAATCATCAATGCCAGTATCATGTGACAGCCTTACACCCAAGTCTCACGCTATGCCCGTCCGTTTGATAAAAGTGCTGAAAGTGTTGGGATGTTTGGAGACTGTCCTGGTTCCGTTTATAAACCAAAAGCTAGGAAACATTCACAACGATCAGTATCATGGTGATGATTTGACCAAGGTTAAAGAGGTCCTGGCACGGGTGTACCCTTATTTGAACTTGACCGTTACTGTCACCAATGCTCTTATTAAGCTCGGGTATTTCCTTCACTACACTGAGAGTTTCTCCATCGCAACATCCCTGCTCGGCATAAAATACAACAGTTCCACCCCTGTGACCCGCACTAAACTGGGCCTCCTTCGTGGACTTATCGAACTTCTCTTTCCAATCTCAATGTTCTACGTTCAGTTCATCAAACAGTGGTCCTCTATTGAAGGTGTGTCTCCCTACGAAGCTACCATCAAACCCCCACCCCCCTACAAAACAGGGGGTGGAACCCCCGACATTTGTCCGATCTGTGATGAGAAGTTCAGGATACCAACCGCAGTGCCTTCTACCGGCATTGTGTACTGTTATGTGTGTATCTTTACGCACGTGCAAAAAAGTGGGGTGTGTCCTGTTTCCCATCTCCCGGTGGGTACAACTGAACTAATTAAGTTAAACATTAGATAAGTATTTCTAATTAATATTGGAAGATTCAAGATCTTGGAGATCTGTGTCTTTATCCGTTTCGGAAATTGTTTCTGCTTAAGTACGTGTTTTTAAGCGTCAGAATTTTTTCTTAATGAATGCTTAGAGCGTAGAGTTTGTGGTCTTATATTAATTCGGAGGTTTATATCATATCTTTTTATTTCGATTTATTGTATATTCTGTTTTATTTTTCTTTAAGTTTGGGAATGTTTATTTTAGTTTATTGCGATGTTTTTAAGAATTTCCATCTGAATGCTATTTAATAATGCGATGTAAATTTGAACATACTTGACAGTTGTACGATTGCGTCTCATTATGATATTATACTGTATCAGTGTTTTCTTTCAATATGATTTTGTACATCGGTCAAGTAACTTGTGTTGTCTTGTTTATTGAGTAAACAATTTTGCTCTAGTAAGCTACGCACTTTGAATGTCGTGATGCGGTTTATTCATATCAAGCAAATTAATATCAAGCAAATTTTAGTCATCTCCGGTGAAAAAAGGTTTGATATTTCTATTCAATTATTTTTTGGTTGGTAAATTGCCTATGGTCCGTAGAATTTTATTATACAGTACATTAATTAATCTAGCTTCATGTATCGTGAGAATTGCTATTTTTGTTAGATATGGAGTACCTTTGTCAAATTTTGTACTTAACGATAATTTTGGTGTTCGATCTTCAGATGAATTAAGTTCCTTAGAAATTATAAAGCTGAATTAAACCTTCTTGATATGAGATCATACTTCATAGTCATCATTAAAGTGTAATATTTTAAAAACATATCTTCCATATAGTATATGACATGCTTGATGAGGAATTCTCTGGCACAAAAAGGCCTTCGATGAATCTGCAACATTTTCATCATCTGCCTTTTACCGAGGTGGATGCATGTGGTGATAACGACAATCTCCCCACTGTCCATGTTCTGAATGATGACTGCTTGGACATGATACTGTCTTATTTCGATCTTGTCGAGTTATTTCAACTCAGTTTAGTTTGTAGACGATGGTACAATTTATGTATTTATAAAATCTCCTGCAGCAACTATTTTTCTACTGAAACATTCAAAAATTATAATGTTGATTGGCAAAAACGATATGAAATCCTTGCATCTACCTCTGTTGATGCCGTTATGTCAGTGCTTTGTCTTACTCATCACCTCAAGTCCTTATCATTGTCAAAAGTCGTGGGTCTGAATGCTGAAAGACTGTCCACTATAGCAGACTTTCTGCTAAACGTAAAGGAGTTGGAACTTTGTTGGGAGTTAGATTTAGATGAAGCTTTTTTTCAAGTTATAGGGGAAAGGTTCGTTAAAAACTTAGAGTGCCTGATGGTGCAAAGTTGGCATGCGGATAATATGAAATTGTTACTAAAAGATGCTAGGAATTTGAAGTTTTTGAGCATTACTGGTTCTGATGACGATGATTATCCAAACCAATTTTGTTTAACAGACTTCTTTTCTACGGACAATCCCCTGATGTGTATTTGCTTTCAACGTTTCAGTCATCTACACCCAGATTCAATGAGTTTCATTTTCAAAAACTTCGCTGCAACTTTAGAGTACGTAGATTTATCGTACACAAATCTTCAGGGCCTTGCTAACTGCTCTATTTCACTGCCAGAGCTTGTAAATATGAAAGTGTTCATTGCTCCTATCGATATATCGGACACTCCTATCGGTGATAATGGACAACCAGATCAGACAAGATGCACTCATCAGCTTGTATCAGTTTTAAAACTGATGCCAAATCTCCGTGTTCTAGATTTGACCTACAATTTACATCTGACCTCTAATAGAGTTGACATTGTGGAAATTTTGGCGAACCACTGCCCTTTGCTGGAGCAACTGTTCCTGGGATGTTGCTGGATTTCAGCCGAAAAACTTGTGAATTTACAAAAATTATCATTTCTCAAGAGACTAGATCTCGACCATTGCCAATCAAAGATTGAGATGTGTTTTGATTTACCAAGTTATGACTACGCAGCCAGTTTTTGGAACATAGCAACTTTTGTTATCCCCCATTTGAAGGAATTGGAGCATTTTTCGTTGACTCACAGCTATTGGACTGATACAACCATGGATAGGCGTATACAAGGGCATGAATTATTTGAGTTTCTGAAGAATGCTGGTCCGAAATTTAAAGGAATATTTTTGACGACAGCGAAATCTCAAGATGGTGGTGAACCGTACGAGTTCGTTGCTGAAGCTGTGAAAATGTGTAAAACACTAAATAGAACTAGCATGATGAAAATTTACCTCCAAAATCAAATGTTTATTAACAAGGATTCTGCGCTGATAATGGATTATTTTGATTCAATATCTCCCCCATTTGTTCAAGTGAAGTTTACTGATTATTCATTTTCGGAAAAGTTATATTCCTCCGATGTTCGGTCTAAATATGTGAACCTGCCTAAGCTCTTGATGTAGATTGTATTGTAGGTGTTCCAACAAATTACTCTGTGTTTTAGTTTTTATCTCTGTTAAAGTTAAAGTTTGCTTACAAATTCTTGTGTTGTCGATTTACTGTTTGTTTTATAATTCAAATAGTACAATAACATTATGCAAAGAAGAGAAGATTCCACCACAGTGCCATCCAACGGGCATTGTGCACTTTTATGTCTTTATGTGTGTATCTTTACGCACGTGCAAAAAAGTGGGGTGTGTCCTGTTTCCCATCTCCCGGTGGGTACAACTGAACTAATCAAGTTGAACATTAGATGAGTATTTCTAAATAATATTGGAAGATTCAAGATCTTGGAGATCTGTGACTTTATCCGTTTGGGAAATTGTTTCTGCTTTAGTACGTGTTTTTTACGTCAGAATTATTCTTTATGAATGCTTAGAGCGTAGAGTTTGTGGTCTTGTATTAGTTCGGAGGTTTATATCAGATCTTTTTATTTCGATATATTGTATATTCTGTTTTATTTTTCTTTAAGTTTGGGAATGTTTATTTTAGGTTATTGTGATGTTTTTAAGAACTTCCGTCTGAATGCTATTTAATAATGCGATGTAAATCTGAACATACTTGAAAGTTGCACGATTGCGTTTCATTATAATATATTATTGTATCATTGTTATCTTTCAACATGATTTAGACTTAAGTACATCGGTCAAGTAACTTTTGTTAATGTGAACCTGCCTAAGCTTTTGATGTAGGCGCTCCAACAAATTACGATTCCAAAAATATTCTGTGTTTTAGTTTTCAAACTGCAGTTAAAGTTTGCTAGATATTTTCGTGTTGTCGATTTATTGTTACTTTTTTTTGTTTCAATAGTTTAATAACTACAATAATATTATGCAAAAAAAAAAAAGATTTATAAACTTACACTTAAAATAACAAAAAAATTCCAACTATTTAATTTTTACCCAATCCGGTTAACTCACCCAATCCATAGCAGCCCCCTACACTAGCAATCAGAAGAACAGCCTGATAGTCGTTATTCAGATAAATATGATGAGCCCCCACAAATCCTCCAAATATTAACCTGTAAAGGAAACTTGTTTAGTTCTCACCCTTGTGTTGTTATTTGTGAGAGTTTCAAGGTGTTATCATGGTGACTGTCATGTTATATGCGAGCTGTTATTTTTAAAGAAAGTTGATATATCATTTTACAATATTCATGAAAGTATTTCTGGAAATGGTGCAATACGGAATACTAAAATATCTCCTCTTATCTTACCAAAGATAAGCTTTGAAAACTGATTTTTCGGCCTTAACTTTGACTTCATCATCAGTGCTTTCACTGTCCGACATTTTTTCTTTTCGCTTCTCATATTTGAAGGGGTCATCTTTGAAAACTTTCAACTGGTCGATATTCGCCATCAAAATCTAAAACGTGTCAAAACTTAAGTTAAATGAAATTATTCCCGATTACAGAATACAGATAAAATAGTCCGTAAAGTGACAATATGACAATCAATGAAACGGTAAAATGTCTGGTTCGACAGGTTAGGTACCTGCTGCAATTAGAGGTGACAAAGTAAGTAAGTAAGAGAAAAAGTAATTAAGACCCAAACTTAGTAAAAGAGTAAAGACAAAGTAAGTAAGAAACAGGAACAAAGTTGATTTAGAAAACAAAGTATACTGACGTGTCCGGAATCCTAAAGGCTTACAGCTCAGCTACTTTCTTGCTCAATCGGCCCCCAATTATTCCATATTTGAGCATAAATAACACCTCCAACAGCTGGCCAACTATTGGTACCTGCTGATTTAAACTCAGTAGTTAAAAGTCGAGCTGCATTTTGTGCTACAATTTTACAATAATATATAAAAGCTTTGTTAATCATGAGACTGTGCTCCTTTATGATAAAACATCTTATCTGAGAAGCCACGTGATGAAACACCATGCCGTTTAAAGTTTTAAGCCAGCTGTTTTGAATTATTCTTTCAAGATTGGTTCTGATCAGACTCAGTCAAATAAGACTAAACAACAGTGCATTGGTTAACCAGGTGTTAATATTCTGAATTAGTTCTAGTACAAGAATACGGTTTAGTTTGCTGTCTGAAATGATGATCAATTAAATCCTTAATTTGAAAACACAATGTTATTAAACTAATAATTATCTAATTACAAAACAATAACAAAAGACACCGACTGTTATAGCGTGAGTAATGGTTGAGCACGCGGAGCAGGACAACGAACTGGGCAGTGAGAGTATTAAAGCTATCGCTGAAAGTGTGGGTGTTAAAGATCTTAATGGGGACTGCACAGCTTATCTTGCCAAGCAGGCGCTTCTTCAGGTATGTGGAGAGAAGGCTTATATCATATTTTCACATTAATATGTGTTAAGTTACACTTTCTTCTGGAAGGTCCTATTTTTGAACATTCAGAAGTATTCAGATATTTGATAGTTGCCTCAGGTATCTCTTGGGTTGGCTAATGTTATGTCAACAGGCTAGAACGATACTGCGAGATGCTCTCAAGTACAAGCTAATGACGCACTCGGTAGAGTTGACGACAGATCATATGGAGCGAGCTAACAAGCGCCCTGTCCCTATCTACGCCTCTACTGGCCAGAAACCTAGGAAGTAAGTGCTCAGCAAATTCTTGTGACATTTTGTTGTAATAATGTAGATGAGCTAATGAGAATGAAAAAGTTTGTAAGTAATTTAACTTATTAAATTTGGCTCTGAGATCAATAGAAATTCCATCCTCTCAATCTCTGTGTGATTTTGTATATGCTACGTGATCTTATGAGGCTACTTCACGTCATGTCAAATTCTAAAGTCGGGATACAGTAAATAAAGCAACTGAGTCTGTTATCTGAACTATATTCCAACAAAATGTGTATCGTCAAGAGTTCAGCGAAAGACTAAACACTACAAGTAGAGACCTATTGAACCTATTTAGAGGTTTAGAAGTGGGCATCTTTACGGCCGTCACGCAATTCGCGGACCACCTGTGGACACGTATGATAACAGTTAATAGTTAATAATAATATGATAAACTACAGTAATTAAAAGAGAGTAGAAACTACCCAAATCCCGTGTTGTGTTAGTGTAGGGGTTTTTGTTCGCCACTTTGCAGAACAGCATTAACTCCTTTCATTAAAACTTACCAATTTAATTACTATTTCTTATTACCGGCCGCGGCCGGGGATATGAAACATACGGTATCTGGCAAGGAGCCCAGAGAGTATAGCTAATGGAGGGGAGGGAATATATTAGGGGTAAAATTAGGCAGTTATTGGTTACCGTGGTCAGCTAACCAAAGTAAACTGTGCTCGTGCAAAATTAATCTGTTGCTGCTATTGGAATTATTGACTTTCAAAATAAAAATCAGTTTTCCTCTCCGCAATCAAGCTTCTTTGACATCTGATATCGTAATTTCACTTCTTTTCCAGATACTGTATGGCGACCTCTAGAGGTCGGGAGATATACGGAGCTCAGGACGAGGAAGTCGATCTGGATACTATCTTATCAGCTCCGCCACCCAAGGTACAGGACTCAAGTTTTATCGTGATTAAATGTTATTCTGTCAATCAAAGTGATATTCTGCCGAGTGAAAGGACGTGAATTTTAGGAGCAATCAGATTGATAACGTGATGTGCAACAAAACCATAACGAGGTCCGACACTTGGTATCTTACACGTGCAAACATTCGGACCGTTTCGTCTACAAAATCACCAGTTTCGGTGTGCGCGGCTCACCTACTGTGTGGCAAATTTTACTATAAACGTCGGGCGCTCAGCAAAACTTGTGATAGTCACGTGATTATTTGTGCGCGTACTAGCAAATTATCTAACAAATTTGATGTCATGTAGTGGAACTAGCTGTTATACTGGTCTATTTGTTGAATCACATGGCATGCATTCAAATATCAGTTGATGCCAAAATACATGAATTTAGAGATTTATTTAGACAAGTTTCTTTAAGGTACCGCAAGATGTGCAGGTGAAGGTGCATTGGCTGACTATCGAAGGTTCGACCCCAACTATTCCGGACAACCCGCCTATGGAGGACGACAAACTTGTTATCGGTAAAAAATAAAATGCGTCTTTTGTTTCATTCCAAATAGGGGCCATCTACTTAGGATTTCCGCAAAATCGCAGATATTCGAACCACCCCCCCCCCCCCCCCCCGGATTTGTCCGAAATTCCAAAACCACCCCTCCCTATTTGCCGGACGTCCTAAGTAGATGGCCCCTTAAGACGTTTCCGTCCAATTTACGTGGAATTTAAACTTTTCGGGTCAGAACTGGGACTGGACGAGTGATGAAATAATACGAAGAAATAAGTCCCTCCCACTCTTTGTGATGAACTTCGATTTCGCCATACATCTGTTATACAATAATCTATGTTACATTTTCAGACGCTCCAGTAGTCTCAATAGACAACGTAGAAGCAGTAAACTCGGTGGCCCCACACGAAATTTCCAGAGAACAGCAACTATATTTCAAGTTAGAAAATGTTAAATCTGTTTTACATACATCATCGAAAAGAAATATTCACCTCTCGTGCTCCAAAATGTCATTCTATTTTCTATCTTAAAAACAAAAAACACATCAAAAATGAAAACAAACAACGAACTCTTCAACAGTACTCTAAATAAAATTTCCACATACCCCCCCCCCCCCCCACATCTATTCCCATCCATTTCCACCTAACCCCCAACATCCCCCCCCAGAGAACTGACCACAAAGTGTATATCAAACGAGAAGCAAGTACGAGACGAAGCAGTTCACAGTCTGTCCACAGACCCTGGTCTGGCAGCAGTCTTGCCGCGTCTCACTGTCTTTATAATAGAGGGCATACGTGTTGGCCTGGGTGACTGCAAGATGTACTATATTCAAGTTAGTTTTATATAGACAGTTTTCGGGAGTTCCAAATAATTTCCGATTATTCTGATTTATTGCGACAAATGATACTGCACTGTTAGGATAAAAGACGTTTCAAAGTAACAACTTCGTATTCATGCTCAAATTATTTGAGTAGTGTTGAAAGTATTAAAACTTAGTTTTATAGTTAGTTTAGTTTCTATCATAAGTCATAACCCTTGCATTAAGTTGGTTTGGTTTAATCTTTTTTCGAAAGCTTCTGCGGTCTGTTCACCCTAAAAGAGTAAAAGGGTGCAAGTGGTTCCTGTTTATGTACAATGTACATTATTGTTTTAAATCTGTAAAAATGTAATAATGGGGTTTAAGATATCTGAGTTGAGGGATAACGAAAAATATAATTCGATTTCTCAGGTTTCTCTCTGCCCCTTCCCCCTCTTTGGCCTTGCCTGTCTCTTAGGCAAGGCCAGGTAGAGTGGATTTAAGAAATTTAGTGAATTTCCACGATTTTTCATTATTCGAGATGATTTGGATCTGGTTGTAAAAGCAAAACAAAAATTAACACAACAAAAAGTGATAGCGAGATTATTTCCATCAAGACCAATTAAAACATTGACATCTGTAAGATTGCAAACATATTTCGGTTAAATGTCTACATCATAATAGATAAATTCACGATATTTGATGATTCTTTAAATTAAGGATCAACACGTCACTCAACTTAAAGCTACTCTCAGTAATTTCTTCAATAGTCTGTTCCCAGGTATTGGCCTACATTTGTGTTTCGTCGACCTCTTTTTCATTCCTACTTGGAGTTGCAACTGTTTTCTTTACCTCCTCTTGCCTCCTTCTTTGAGATGCATTTGTATCGATTTTGTGGTTTGTTGAGCCTTTGATGGGGTGTACTCTTTTATGGGTCACAAAACACGGAAATATCGTAAATAATTTAGTTTTGATGAAATTCCGAAAGCTAGGTATTGAAACTGTGTAGATGAATACATTTGCAATGTTGTTCAAGTATGGAATACATTTACAAAACATTACCGTTTTAAAGAGGCTATGATTACCATCAATCACCTGAAGAGCATAATATCCAAAAAGGGGCAGCATACTAATGCAATACACAACTGCTATCAAGATTACAGTTACGATTCCCTGAAGATTAGCTGATCTCCCTTGTCGGTGGCTCAACCTTACAGCGATCACTATTAGCCAGATGCCACAAATCACTACTATGACAGTGCAGAGTAGTGCTACAAGCAATATCACGAATGCTGATGTAATAAACAATAAAATAGAAATAAACATCAGTTCGCAATTTAGCTGACGTTCACGGTATAGAACCTTAATTTTATCTATTTGCACAACTAATATTAAAACAAGGGCTAATGAGGCAGCCCACATGCAGCTTGCTAGAATGTGTCCTTGTCGACACGTCCAGCTTGCACCTCTAAAAGGAAAAAGCATAGAAGCTAGTTTGGAACAGTTCATAGCAACAGTCAAAAGGGCAGTACAGATAAAGAGAAACCATCTGGAGTATGCTTGTAAATCACAGAAGTTTTCTCCTAACAACCAACTGTCCGTGATGGCAGCCAAGCAAGTGGGGAAGAGAATAACTAGTGTAGTTAAGAGGTCGAGAACTGCAACGTGTTGAATCAGCGCAGTTGTTATCTTGCCCACCCTAATCGCCTTCTGTTTAGTAGCTATTAAGATGACAAAACTTCCAATCAGTCCAACCAGTGTACCAAGAAGGAAAAACGTTGAGAAGAGTGAACGGGCCAAAACAGGGTTTACATTGTGATAAAGCCACCAGTTCTTCGCGTATCCTCCAAACAGGCTGTAATTGTTGGGAGGGGCCCTTATTTCTCCCATGTTTATTGCTAAGGATACAGAATTAAAAAATAAGGGTTAATAACTTCTTTGAATAATGAACACCAAATATTTAAAAACCCGTAAGACGAAGCTTGTGAGTTTTGTCCTTGACATAGCAAATGTAAAAAAATATGTTTGATTAAAAATTCTGTTTGAAAATGTATCATTTTTGTTGAACAGTACATATCATAACGTTAACATGTGGGAAGGGTTGAAAGAAATATCAAACGCTATAATATAATAATACTCTCGCGCTCTGAGGGCCGCGCATGATAACGCCCGAACGTAGTGAGGGTGTTTGCGCGGCCTGATAGAGTGAGAGAGTATTATCAGTTATATTTATAATGCACGACGGTTCCGATAGGAAGGGGTGTAATGTGATACGTGCGCATGATACAATATAGTACTAATAAAACAAATATTTAATAAAACAAATATTTATTTTTACGGCACAATCAAACAATATCAATAATAAATATATCAGGGGAGGTTTGAAGAGGTTTCAAGTGCCGAAGGCCACTGCTTATCTTTAGGATTTGAGAGTGACCTGTGCTTGAAACCCCCTCAACCATCCACTACGTCAATATACTTGTTATATAAACTATATAGAAAAATATAACAATCTAAAATTACTTATTGGTTTAGTTTGGTGACATAGGAGAGCCCAGTTGAGTTTTAGTTTAGGTTTAAGTTTTAAGTTATAGTTTAAAAGGTTAGCCATGTTTCATGGCAGAGAGAGATATCATGTGTGCAGAGCCGTACCGGATTTAGAATTTGAGATATAATATAAATTAGTTACCATGTATTAGGGTCATCTCGATTTTGGAGGGATAGCAAGTGCTTTTTAAGGTTAGATTTAATAACACCTGACGAGGCTGACAAGTCTGAATTCTTGGAAGAACCCGGGATCATTATCCCATCTACATTAGCATCACATATTTCGAATACATAGGGGCTGAGGTCATTCCAAATTTTCGTAGAGGTCATTCCAAATTTTCGTAGAGGTGTACTAATTAACTGTGGAGCCGGAAACGTATTACGAGAAATGAAAGTGGTCTCTCGCTGTTCCTATGGCTATACCTGTTTTGATAATGCTCCCTGACAAAAATTTAGCGTTACCACTTTTCTTCCTCATAACACATTATCACATCTTCAAGTGTTTGCCTAGTCGGAAAGTGGTCTAAGATCAGACTGCTGGGGCGCCTGGTACAGAACCGTCCTGCGATTAAAGCCCCGAAACGGGGACCAGGTTTGTGGCTGATGATTCCGATGAAAGTTCCGGTGAGGGAGAGATGTTTTGGTGAGAGAGTAGCTGGTTTGGGAGTTTGATTGGTGTGGTGTTTGGTTGGTTGTGGTGTGATTACTAGCGTGGTTCGTTTGTTCGCAGTTATAACTGTGTTTCACCCCCAAGAAACATCAGAATAGGCGGACTGGTAGCCGCAAAACGAAATAGGTGGAACTAAGGCCATAACAGGGACAAAAGGATTTCGCGGTTATTTTGGCCAAAAATCGCGGCACCCCGACAAGCCAAACTAGGCTAATTCGCGGCGGGAATTTCGAAAATCGCGGCATATTCGCGGCAAAAAAATCGAAAAAACGCGGCAAAAAATAATGTATTTACAGTGCTTAGTTAGAGTTCACATATTCTTTGACTATTCTGTTTGATCGGCACATGTCCCATGAGGATGTGATCTCATCATATGATCTGATACAGGCTGATGGGGGTCCATAACAACAAGAGCTGCCATAACTTTTGACATGATCTCAAATGTTGCAATGTCATACGTACTGTATGACATATCTCGTTATCGATACTATATAACTTTCAACAGACGACAGGAGACATCATCATTCGACCATCTACACTTCACAACTATAGCAATGGAATACTACGAACTTTTCAATCCAATTCCCATATCCTAGTCTATCCCCATCTAGTATCCAACCTCTACCCCTTGAAGTTTACATCAACCTGGACGACATCCTTACCCCGGCCTCCTGCACGAACCTTCTAGATTTTCTAACCACATCCCGAGGGAAGCCCATGATTGTTCCTTATGTGGTCTACGACGAGATTACATGCTCTACAAAATAGCTTCCCATTGTCAGCATAAAACGAAGATTTGCCAAATTCAGCCACTCTCGTGGAAGCTGTTACATTGCCCTGTTTAGCCTGTTTCGAGCGTTTGCTACCCTTCGATACACGATTTTGGACTCGAGGGCTCCCTTGTAATGCGATCTCGGAAGGCAGACCTCCCCTTCGCAATACGAGCTTGGAAGCGGGAGCTCCGCCTTCAGAGGTACGTATCGAGAATGACTCGGACAGAAAATTTTCAGTCAAAATTTTTCAAAGTTTTTCTGGAAACTACTTTTGTTCATGTTTCATGCTACCCTGATCATTATGAGCCGAAAATATTTTTTCGGTTTTCAAAGGTCACATACCCTTCGATACACGATTTTGGACTCGAGGGCTCCCCTTGTAATGCGATCTCGGAAGGCAGGCCTCCCCTTCGCAATACGAGCTCGGAAGCTTGACCAGTAGACATATAAAACTTGACCAGACGACATAAAGTTGACCAGTAGACATATAAAACTTGACCAGACGACATAAAGTTGACCAAACGACATATAAAACTTGACCAAACGACATAAAGTTGACCAGACGACATTAAGTTGACCAGTAGACATAAAAAACTTGACCAAACGACATAAAGTTGACCAGAAGACATACAATGGATTAAGAAATCGAACTGTATGTTAAATCAGTGTTGTTATTGAATCGTCACTTGTCAGATATTTCGTCATCGTTATTCGCTTGGTATTGTATTCGCTTGTTATAATGGACCGCTTTGTCAAACGGCCTGCCGACAAACCGGCTGGACCTTCGTCTAGCAAACGCTCGAAACAGGCTAAACAGGGCAATGTAACAGCTTCCACGAGAGTGGCTGAATTTGGCAAATCATTGTTTTATGCTGACAATGGGAAGCTATTTTGTAGAGCATGTATCGAAGGGTATGTGACCTTCAGAGGTACGTATCGAGAATGACTCAGACAGAAAATTTTCTAAGTCAAAATTTTTCAAAGTTTTTCTGGAAACTACTTTTGTTCATGTGTTTCATGCTACCCTGATCATTATGAGCCGAAAA